CCTGCTGGAATTCCTTCTGAGGTAACTATGGAGAGCTTATGAACACATCTAAGGGAACTTTCCACAGGAGGACTTGAAGAAGGCCTCAGCAAAATTCATCCTACTGCAGCAATATTTCAATGAATGATCATGTCTTGTTGGCTCTCTCTGATGTCACATGGGATTAATGCTGCATTGTGGCAAAGATCTTCTGCCCCTCCCTTTCAAACACTGTCCCGCACAGTACAATGCACCGACAATGTCCCACTGAAATGCACCCTGGTAGGGCTCTGCTGCACTTTGCTGCATTAAGGACCGAGGCAATCAACAGCAAGGAGCAATTAGTAAAATACCGTGTGGAAGTTGGTCTCTTAAAAACTTACCTGTCAATAGAGCAATACATACAGCAACTCGGAACACTGTAGCAGACATGATGTATTCCTTGGAAATCCTTTGACAGAGCAAAACAGCAAAATACAGTCCTTTTTGTATTCTAGATTCCCTTTGCTTCATCAATCATTTACTATGTTCATCCAAAGCATTGCGCAGGCAAAGGACAGGGTCCACTTTTGCATAGTCATGTTTTATTGACCTTTCCATGCCCTTTGGACCTTTTACCTGGAAATTTTGATGTAGTCCAGACCTGTTTTTCCCCCTCCATGAATGGATGCTTAAGCCACTAAGAGTGCTGTCCCATCCATGTCTACACAGAAAAAAGTCTTATGCTTCCATGGCAATGCTGGGAGTTGCAGGACATTTTTTCTTGTGACACTTGTGAAAGATTGTGCCCCAAATTAGTCTTCCCAATCTGGTGCCCTCCACATGTTTTGCACTACAACTCCCATCAGCCCCAGCCCTGGTATAGCCAGTAGCACTGGCTGATGGGACTTGTAGAACAAAGCATCTGAGGGACATCTGGTCCTGGAAGACTGCATTAAACATTGGTTGCCACCAAGCACATTCCCATTTTGGGGGACTCTTAATGGTGAGCAGCTGACATTACTTGATGCTGCAGAACTCATTCAAGCCAGATACCTAAGACAACTGCATACATGACCATTCAACAGATGTGGCCAATATTATCCCAAATTTGCATGTTTTCTGTCTGACTGCTGGGAATAACTGTCAAGTCTGAACAAAAAGTGCTATACTTCACTGTAAACTGCCCAGAGAGCTTCGTCTACAAGTGGTATAGAAAAGAGATACATTTCTAAATGAATAAATAGATAAATATGGGCCCAAGAACTTGACAGATGTTTCTTAATGGGTCAAGATTTCCACTCAAGAGGAGCTAATGGTTTTACCCTACACAGAAAAAGCTTAAACATAAGACCCATTTGGGGAGCAGTAATCCTTTCTCCTCTCCCTGCAAAAGCTAAAGATGCATCCTGAAATCTGTGGTGCAGAGAATAATAGAACCATTTTGAGCAACTGGAGTCAACTTTTGTGGGGTGAAGGTATCTCACATGGGGATTGCATGTGCATCAGTGGATTGCTACTTGAAGGAGTCTATCCTGTTTCCCTCCGCAGGTGCTCTACTTGCATATTTTAACTATACCCAGATGTTGACTGAAAATGTCACCAGTTCCGGTGCTTTCTCTTTCCAAAGGAAAGACACAACCCATACAAGATAATCAGTCTACTAACATGCTTGCTTGCTTGCTTGCTTTCATTGGAAGTTCCATAAAAATTGTAACCTTCCCACTGCACAGGGCAGTTCTGACCATGCTTACTCAGACATAGGTCTCCATGCATTCAGTGAGTGTGTCTGTGAAAGAGAAGAAACTTTAATAAATGATGATAGTCTGTTAAATGTTGAACACAGCATCCTCAGCTCCAGCTGGTGTTTCACTGATGAGATGTTCATTAAGAACACTGCTTCAACTAAGATCAAGCAGGCCAAAGTGCTCCTATTCCAGCTGTCAGTGGGGTCAAAGGCATAAGTATGAGGCCAAAAATACTGAAACAAAACCACACCAGCACACTGTAGCTTAATGCTTTTACTGCTAGTAACAATGAGCTTCAAGTTTATAATAATCTTCCATGTGATTGAATATCTTTCAGTGTCATTCCCAAAACATATGAAGAGAAGTTGGGTTAGAGGGAAGAATAAACATTTTCACTCATAATGTACGTGTGTGTGTGTGTGTGTGTGTGTGTGTGTGTGAGAGAGAGAGAGAGAGAGAGAGAGAGAGAGAGAGAGAATTGTCTTTTTATTGTTACTTCCTTCCTTGGAAAGAAATTCCTTCTGACTGTTACTTGTTAATAGAAAATTTGCTAACAAGATTGTTAAAATCATTCTGCTCCACAACGACGGCATTCTGGAAAAACAGAAAGAAGGTACTGTGGACTTAGGGAACATTTGTTATGGAGACAGACTGCGAGTGAAGCACTAGATGTTTAGCTCTTTAGATTAACAATGTAAGACCTCCTTTTAAATAACAAAAAGCCTCAGGCATTGCTTTGCAATGTAGCCTTGCAGACTATAAGTCTATGCATCTGGTACCAAATGACAAATATTGTTGTCAGTTCTAAGCAAGAAACGAGGAAACAGATCTGAGTTATTGGTCAGGTGAAGATGGTGAGCCACCGAGGTGGAGATGCTGCAAGGGCAGCTGATACTATCTCAAATATCCACATCTGGTGGACATCAAGCTGGAGGAGACTGAGCTAGTGAAGTATTCCTACTACTTCTGAGATGCTGCTGAAACCCCACGCGTGCTGTCTTGTGCTCTTCAGTTCAGAAGCCCCCAGCGATAGCAAGAATTCAGTCAAGCGCAAACAAATTATTCGGCCCCCACAACCCATAGGAATTGCCCCCCTGGAGCTCTCAAGGGGGTTTCAAGCCGCAGAGTCCTGCACCGCCCTTCCCATCCGGCACTTTCCCCTTCGGGGGCGCCCGGTGCCCGCTGCGCGCGAGCCGCATTCGGCAGCTTCGCGCGAGACGCTACCTGGCATCTTGACCACGAGGGGGCGCTCTGCGCTTGGTTATCTCGCCCAGGGCTGTTAGCCGTCCCCGGTTCCCGACTGAGGCGGCGGCGGCGGCGGCGATGGCAGAAGCGAGCCGCTACGGGGCTCTCTGCAGGGCGGGGTTGAGAGTGGAGTACCTGCATGCAAACGCGTGAGTGGCGCACCCGGCGGATTCAGCAGGGCTGGCCTCACCGAGGTTCGGCGTGGCCCCTACAAACTGTAGCAATAATGTTAACATTAAACGCTAGTGTGCTTCTTCACAAAAGCTATACTGAGCTCTTGTTCCAAAAGATCCATTTTCCGTTGAAGAGGCTTCTTTTTCTGCCGTTGGATGCGCCGTGCCGTTTCTGCAGAAAAGCGTTGATCAGAAGCTAAGATTAAAATAAAACGGAAAAAGAGCCACAAGCGAACAGCTTTCAAAGAGGTTGAGAGTGGGAAAGCCCGTTGGTGAAATCCTAGGTGCACGCTGCTTGAGAGTGTGCCCTGTATGAAGTGGATTTCCTTCAGCATAAAGATGCATGGAGTGCCCTGCTATCCATTTAAAGTACCGGTTTTCTTTCTGCGTACATAACATCAGCAAAACAAGGCAGTCCCTACCAGCAGGGCTGCAATCTACAATGACATGACACACAAGGAAGAAAGAGAAAGGGAAGGATTCACTCCTGCGCAAGTTTAGTCTGGAAAAGGCCTTGCAGTGCGCAGCAGTCCCCCGTACCGTAACCCTTTTAGCAGGGCTGGCATGGAATTGCCGGGCTTCCCCATTTCATCTCCTTGTGCATAGGCTGCTGGGGATGGTTGAGGGGGGAGGGCCTATCCTGGAAGTGGTCTTCCGAATCTGCAGTTATATAACTATAAATGCAGATCACTTGTTACAATAAGGTTGCCTGAAACGCTGATATAATGGAAGAGCAGTACTGAAGTAAGACTCGTGGAGTCCCAGTGGGACTTACTCCCCATTAAGTGTGCATAGAGTTAAAATCACTACAGTTAGAGCCAGTGTGGTGTAGTGGTTAAGAGCACAGGACTGGGACTTGGGCGATCTGGATTCTAGCTCCTACTCGATCAAGGAGCCAGCCGGGTAACTCTAGGCCAGTCCAATGTACCTCACAGAGCTGTTGTTGTGGGGGTAAGATTGAGAGGAGGAGGAGGAGGAGAATGATGTAAGCCACTTTAAGTAAGAAAAAAGCAAGCTATAAACCTCACGAAAGAGCTCTCACTGAAGAGGTAGATAATCAAATAATGACTTATCTGTCTGGGGAGGGGGAGGCTGGCTAGAACAAGTGAGCCGAACTGGAGTTGGGGAGTGAAACATTGGGCAGAGGCCTCCTGCATAGCATGCCAGGGGGCTGTTAGGGAGACCCACTTCCACCTGCATGCGCTCAAATCTGATCCAGCCCAGTAATGGTTATTAACTTGTGTACATTCACAAGCTCCCCACTGTATGTTAAGTTAGAACCTTCTCCAGCCTTACTATTTCCACATTTCCAATGTGAGATGCCAAGTAGTCTTTAAATGTTCCATTTATTGCTACGTCTAGCTTGCATCTTTTAAAACTGTCTTAATGCTTCTTTCTAGGATAACGCACAATTTTCTTTTTGGAGCAGTGGCAGAACTGGTTGACAATTCCCGGTAAATATCTCCTTCTTAGGAGGGAAATGTTGTGCTGATGGTTACCATGTGTGTGGCGGGAGAATGCTCGATCCTTCTAAATCAGGGAATGGAACACCTTTTGCTTTGTTCCTCAGACTTCCCCAGCTCTGTATTGTTGGATGCAAGAAAATACGGAAAATACGGTTAAGGGCAAGCCACACTGGATAGTGTTCTAAGCCATATTTGAGATGGTTAGATTTACTTTTTACTTTCAAGTCTTTTGCTTTAGAAAGGAGAACAAAAAAAAAAAAATCCCAGTGACTTTATGGAGTTTCTTCTTTATATTTTCATATATGCTTGCATATAAGTATTATCCAAAATAGTATGGTTTACACTATTGCTTTTATAATGCTCACTTTAAAATACTCTAAATATTTTCAGGGATGCTGGTGCAACCAGACTTGACATATTTATTGGTGAGTTGTATCTAAATGGTTATCTAAATGGATAAAGGCCTGTTGGCTTTATCTTAGTTACAAAGAAATGGCATGTTTGCTCCCATGTGAAAATGTTCAGTTTTGCAGATTTAAGATGGTTCTGATGCTAATTGGCATGATAATGCTCTATAGATAAACATGCCTGAATAAAATTGCAGTCATCTTGTATGGTTAAAAGCCTAGTGGCACGGTGTAGTTCTTCCAGAAATCCCTGTGAAAAAGGATCAACCAGGGGTCTGGCCAGACCTCCAGTCCCCACTGGCTTCACTTATCAGCTGCTCAGATGTATCAGTGGTCATTGGTTCTACCTGAGTGGGTCCCTTTGCAGCCCGACTCTCTATAAGAGTCACTCAGGTTGAAGCTTCACGAAGGTCCCAGATTTAATTCCTGGCATATTTAGATAGGGATGAAGAAGCTCCTTCCTGAAATTCTGGTGAGCCACTGTCAGTGTATCCAATACTGGGTTAGTTGAGCCAATGGTCAGTCCGCACTGGCGGCCCCAATGTCAGTGGGGCACTGTATCCTCTCTCAGATGTAGCCTGAACTTTTACAGAGCTCTTTATGGTGCTAGCTAGGCCAATTTTGGGGATGGGGTTCAGCAACATGGAATGTTCCTTTAAAGTGAAGGCTAAAATCCAGAGTAGATACCTCACCCCACTGGCATCAGAACTCTCAGCCTCCACTACAAATGGTCCAACCTGGGACTAGGCAGCTTCCTAAACATTCACAGACCCAGTTTGTATTGGGGCCATGGCACACCATATAAAAGGGATTAAATCTTCCCTCTCCCCTCTCTACTACCATCATGAGCTGCTTTAACATTAATTCCATGCATGGGATTAAAAAAAAAGAACAACGAGGAGGCGTTTTCTCTATTTCTGTCTAATACCTGCATGTGAAGTGGTGATTTGATTCTGGAAAGAAACGAAATAGCTTAATCCCTCTCTCATAGTATGTGATGGTCTCAATCCAAAATGGGTCTCATGCATTTTAGCAAAAGTAGTTTGAGTCTTTAAAAAAGTCTTATTGGGCTTGCTGAAATCTGTTTTACTTAGTATATTTAGGATCACAAGATCGTATTGAAGTCTCTCTAGACACAGTCAGTTCCATTGGATTAGCTCGGAATTACTTTTGCAGACATCTGCATTAGATCACTCAGTTGTCACTTACACATCTGGTACATGTCATACTTCTGAAGAATGTTTGCTTTGAGCACAATTGATGTAGCTATACATTCTATAAACAATACAAAAGAAAAATATCTACATATGTTTGCTCAGAAGTAAAACCCGCTCTGTTTATTGCGGCCTATGCCCCGCCAAGCATAAATAAGACTGACTCCTCAAGCAGTATAGATGCCTTCCTGTGCAATCCTAGACATGCCTACTCAGAAGTAATTGACACTGGACTCATGTGCATAGAATTGCAGTCTGAATAAAGTTCATGTTCCTTCAGATTACAGGTGTTTGAATGCTCTCCCATGTATCTCTGCACCTCGAAGATGATAATGTCAAGCATACGTGATGCCCTGTCCACTCTGGCAGGCAGCCTGATGTGTTCATTTTGTAAATGCAGGGAGGATTACGGAAAGGAAGGGGTCATATTCAAATATGGAGAGCCATCATGGCAGAAGGTATTGTAGATCCCCAGATGTTTGGACTTCAACTCTGAGAAGCCCCTGCCAATGTATGCAGTGGTCAGGAATTCTGAGAATTGAAGTCCAAGACATCTTGAGATCTTTCTGCCTACCCTGATTCTTAGAGTATTCTTAGTTTAATGTATTTCTTCCAAATATTTATTAAAGAGCTATCATCTTTTCTGTGCTTCATTGTGCAGTAATTAATGAGAACCTTCAAGGAGGATTTTCACTGTGCTTTATGGATGATGGATGTGGCATGAATCCTAGTAAGTTAATGCAGTTTTCGTTTTACTGTGTGTTTGTGTGGTATAAATGGCTAGCATGTCAAATCAGGACAGAGGAGACCAATGGTCATATCCTCACTCAGCCATGAAATTCACTGGATAACCCTGAGCCAGCTGTTGCCACTGCTTCTCTCTCTCTCTCTCTCTCTCTTTCTCTCTCTCTCCACCTCTCAGTCCAACTTATTGCATATGATAAAAGGGGGATATATATATATATATACTGACTTGATACTATATATACTGACTTAATCTCCCTGGTGGAAAGGTAGGATATAAATAGCATTACTCTCCATGAATGTTTCTAATACCCTTTTAAAGCTGTCCAAGTTGGTGGCCATCTAGTTATTTATTTATTAAAAGCTTTTATATACTGTTCACTACAGGAGTCTCTGGACGGTTTATCCCTTCAACCTGTGAAAGTTTTTTCCATAGTTGATGCATTGTGCATAAGAACTGCTTTCTTTTGTCCATGCTGAATCTCCCACCAGTCAGCTTTATTAGATGGTTCCTGGTTCTGCTCGGAAGGCACTCTCCACAACCTGCACAATCTTGTAAATCTTTCCCACATTTAGAGTTGTAAAATTTCTGCAACTATTGAAACTTTCTGGGGGAGAGGAAGGATGAGCAATTGTGCTGTGCTTGATTGAATTGCATGCAATATGTACTTCCTTATCAAATCCAAACTTATTTTTAACTGCTTTAACAACATAAAATAAAAATACATCATTTATAATTTAGCATATAAAATTGTACTATCTGGCAGGTTTATGAAGTTTACAAGTCATTTGTATTGGTTTCAACCTTTCTGGGCTACCTTTTAAAGTAAAGGCCTTTCCAACATGCCTTACATACAAGAATTCCATGCCGTATCCATATGTTCGCAGTACATGTTCAACTGCAACTTCCCCAGATATGGCTGTTGCAGTCCAAAACATCTGGAAGGCATCAGATGAGGAAGGCTACCATATACTACCATATAGGATATGGCATAGATTATACAATTACAAATCTGATAAGAGTTTTGGAATGTAGGCAACAAGGTAATACATTTATGGAAGCAAATCGCACTTGATAGTCTAGTGTTGGAAGAATAAAGTTCAAGATGTACAGATCCCTACGTTTTAAAAAATAGTCCAATTGTATATTGTCCAAAATATGTTGGACAAAATGGATAATAATTTATATATAATATGTGTGTTGCATTTTATTTAATCTGCATTCATATTTATGAATGGTGCAGATATTGACAGCAAATTAAGTTGACAAGAAGATTTGACATGTCAGAATGCCAGGATGGACATTTACAGCGGGCTATTAACCCATGAAACTTCAACTGTCACAAAACTAGGTGTATGATTAGATAAAATAACCAGAAAGGAATTTTAGATCATAAATAAAGGGCATTTGCTTGAGAAAATTAGCAAACAAAGTAACTGAGATGACACAATTGATGGTCACTTAGGGCATCTTGTATATGCCATCATACTCAAGAACATTTGTTGCACGGTTTTATTTATACTCTGTACATAGTAAGCATAAGAAGAAGCATGCACATATTTGATCAGAGGAAAAACCCACTGTGTTTAGTGAAACTTACTGCCAGGTAAGCATGGATAAGACTGAAGCATAAATGCATTGCATTGCACCATTATATGTTCCTACTCAGAAGTAATCCCACTGTGTTAAGTGAAGCTTACTTTCAGGTCAGGGCTGCAGTCTTCATTATTCCTAAAATGTCAAATTTAGGAAAATATATTTTTAAAAGTAATTTTCTCTGTGGCTTTTTGTTTCTAATCATAAACCAGGCTTTAAATACTAAATAGTCCCCAGTGTTGCCATTTTTCCTCAGATAAGAGTTGCTCTGACCCCCTTTTGCACTTTTTCCATTTCTACAATTTCCTTTTTGAGGTGTGGTAACCAGAACCATGGCTGGATCACAAGTGAGTGCTCCACAGTCTTATGTAGATGGACAGTTTAAAGCAGTCCTATGGAAGGCTTCTGTCAATGTCTTCTTATCTGCTTGTGCAATGAGGGACTGCTCAGGGGCAGCTAAGTAAACGGAGAACATGCACCCAAGCCCGTGTTAAATTGGGGGCATTCCCAGTATAAGTGATAGCTCACAAAGATTCCCAAAGCACAGCTTAGTGTTTCCAGGGGAAGGCTTGGACTGGAGAGGCCTGAGGGAGCTTAGCCACGTGAACTTCAGGGGGTGACCCTTGTCCATGCGCCATCTCCCATTCTAACCAAGTTGTTTTGGCTGCATGGGTTAAAGGTTCTCTAGATCCCAGACAAAGGGAGATCCGAGCAGCTGGTTTTAAGTGCTCAAAAAGGGCATGGTGTATCTCCTACAGCAGAAGCTGCTTAGGCCTTGCTGTCACTGAATAAAGGGCACAGTCCAGTCGTGTCTCCTCATGGTTTCCTTTTGCCAGGAGATAAGACTCTTCCCCACCCCCTTAGGTGTTGCTAAGTACAAACAGCTTATTGAGTAAGACCAGACTGTGGCTGCTGTGAGCCAGTGCCAAGAAGATAACACCAAGACGATATCCTGGCCAGCACTTAAAATAAACTGTTCCCTGAAAAGGCGTCTTAGGTGCTCTTTGAGTCCCTGCTGTGCCAGATCGATTCTTTGCAACTTGGCATGGGAACTTCCTTTGCAAGAGGAGAGCGGGAGACTTTGTACTTGAAACGGTGATGTGCAGGTGGATCTGGTTCATTCTGTAAAATGCTGTGCGAAGCAGCTGCAAACCAGGTGGAGGATGGTATTTTTAGAAGCACGGATTCAAGGATGAGAGTTCTATTTCAGGCCCTGTCTGACTGATGTTCCAGTTTTCAGCAAAAGTCTTAACTCTTTCTTGTCTCTGCGGGCGCAACTGAATGTGACGGCACAGCATAAACTGGCACATCCCAAACTAGTATTGAAAGGCGAGGGGAAGGTTGTCTCTTGAAGTTTGAATCTAATGGTCATTCTCCTGGGTGAAGATCCATTGAAATAAAGAAGACATCTGTTAGTCATGACTTAAGTCATATTCATTTCAATAGGCCTACTCTAAGTAGGACTAACCTTGGATGCAGCCCAACTATGCATAACTTCTTATGCTATTGTTTTTTTTTCTTATTTTTTATTGTTTTCCTGCTTTTAAAAAAATGGATTTATTTCTGGTCATAGAGCTCTAGCAAAAGAAAAAATTTCGTTCAAAGCTGTTTACATGGAATGGAATCAGCAATTTCTGCCACCCACCCACTTTAAACTCCTAACCACTTGAAGATGAAGCCGTGTTCCTGTATCTTACTTGGGAAACATTATATAATCTGAAATGTAAACTGCAACATGAAGGGGTGTGTGGGTGTTGTGTGTTTTGACTGTCCAGCTCCAAGTATAATATATGTTGTCATCTGCCACTCTTTATGTAAAAGAATAGAATGTAAATCTTGCATCAGAAATGATAAAATTCAGAAATGATGTGAAAGAACATTTCAGGCACCCAGAACACATCCTGGACAAAGGAATTCCAAAGGAAAACTGCAGTGTGAAAACTGTTGGATTGCAACCCATCAAGGACTTCATTTGGATCACTTGTGTGCTGAAGCAAGATAATGGCCTCATTCACACAACATGAAAAGCCACCCTGTAATAAGCCTCAGTGGGTTTATTGTTTGGAGAACAACCCACAGTACGCCCAAGAGATGATCCCACTTGCTGCAGGGTTTTCTCTCCCCTGCTTCTTCCTTGGTCCTCTCATGCTCCTTCAAGGCAGAGTCTGTCTTGCCTCCCTCCCCTGTTCTGACCACTACCCCTTTTCTTGTGCCACTGTTTTAATGTCATCTTAAGAGCCTTAAAAATGCACAATTTTAAATTAAAAGAGACTCAACCCCAGCAAATTGTATTGCAATGTTTGAAAAAAATCATCTTTTGCAGGTGTGCGAGTGCACATGTACAGCTTTCCAATACATGTAAACTTTCCACAGACATAGTCTTTATCTTCTTCAGCTGTCAAAGGGTGCAGTGCAGTGCAGTGCACTAGATAACAGACCGACAAAGCGGGACTGCACACAAGCAAATTTGCCCACAGTTGCAAAGCTGTCAGTTGAAAATCATCAGTTAGGGCGGGGAGGGGCGGCAGGAGAAGTAGGTGCACTGAAAGGGTGTAGGAAGTCCCTCTTTACAATGTAATACTCTGAATTCTAAGTGTGCTGCTAATAGTTCATATTGCCGTCCATATTTTTGACACTTTCCCAGATTTCCAGAAACAGGAGATGGAACGCAGAAACACACTGCTGCCTGATTTTCACGGCTCCTTTCCAGTTACTGCCGTTCCCTCTTCTAAAACCACCCCTGTGAAGGTGGCAGAATGAGAAGGAGTCAGCTGGGAGAAGATCTAAATTCAACTGGAGCTTAATTAGCCTACCAGTGCCAGTATATATGTTTTATCAGTCACATTATTTGCTGGGGATGACTGTCCATATTTTGCATTTCAGCTTTAGGGTTTTCATCAGAGTTCAAATTTTTTCCCATTTCATTTCCTTATGACTCACTGCTTTCCTTTCTTTTGCCTCTACCTGCACATCAGTCCAGTGCCTGCCAACTCAGGAGAGCACTTTGTGAGCCTAGTGAAGTGGACTCTAATCCACTGCATAAATGAAAGTTTCTGCCAGCCTTCCACAACCTGCAAGGCTCCAGGTGCCCTGGTTTAGAAATCTGTTCTTCCTCAGTATAGTGTCCCCATTGTCCTGATGGCCAGGGATGATAGGATCTGTAGTTCAATACATCTTGCAGACACTATGTTGAAGAAAGTCTTTTATGCCACAATGTGTTGAGAAGTCTGTTCGACGGCACTTTGAGGCTAAATGTTTCTCTCTCTTTTTTTTAAGAATAAAATGGCATAAACATTTTTTGGCTGCAATAATAAATGTGTTAGCTGCAATAATAAATGTGCTAACCACAGTCTCATGGCTTGTAAGTGATCTGGCTGCCCACAGGAAAAGGTAGTATCTCCTCTACAATCACAGAAAAGCACTCCAAGATTGCAGCAAAAATGCCATCTTCAGAGGGCTCTCCCATCAGATCTGGCATGTATTTTTCTGCCCTGACTGCAGCTCCAAAGTCAGAAGACTGTCTTTGGAGAAGGCACCAGGGAAATGTTCATGGGGGGAGCAGAATTGTCTCACTAAGTGCAGGAGGCAGTCGGAGTCTCTATGCTTCTCTCACCTTCCACTGGATCTTAGTAACCCCCTTAGTCTGTAAGTTGCCCCAGGACCCTTTGTGGTTTTCATTAAGTGGTATCAGAAAAATAATTAGGATTTAGCTTTTTTTCTCCAATCAATACAGACATTTCAAACCAGGGGTGCTTAAATTGAATATTTATTTGCCAATGTTTCCAGTGAACAGGGGTGCAGAATCACTCAGGGGTGGGGCTGAAGTTACTGAAAGGGACAGTATCAAAATATCCACCTGGACACTCGAGCGTAATGCTCTTCCTACAGGTTATTGTTGCTTTAGCAGAAGGCTTGCAAGGTTTTAGAAGTGGGAGAAAGCTCTCCAAAGTCTGGGCAATGGAGGTAACATACACCAGTTAGAACTCTGGTACCCATCCTGCTTGAGGGTTCTTGTGGGAAGCTGGTTTCCACAGTGTGAACAGAGTGCTGGTCTGGATGGATCATTGGTTTGATCCAGCATGGCTTTACTTATGTTCTTCTCCATTAAGGACCTTCAGCAAAAAAAAAAAAAAAAAAAAAAAACAAATCCAGGGACTGTCATTCAAATGTAAAACTGCCTTTTCCCACTTTGCATGCCATTTTCACAAGTTCAGCAAAAGTATGTGGGACAAAGTATATTCTTTATCAAGTGGGAATGTGTCACATCAATCAAGTTGTTACTTCAATTCTGACAGGATATTTGATCTACCTAGTGTAGTGGAGTCATTAAAATTAACAACCACTTAGCCCTTCTTCACTGAACACAAAAAGTTCAGTATCTATTGGAGGGGGTAGAAAACTTGTGCAGGTGGGGAAAGAACAAGAAACAGCATTCTGGAACAGGGCTGGAGAGATTTATGAGTGTATTTCAGGATGGAAATAAATGGGGCTTATACAGGGCGTAGTGCACTCTTCACTATAACTGTGTAGTCTTTGGGTGCATCCATTTGTACATTGTGCCATGCCTGTTCAAAGATCAGCAAAGCCAGTTTGGGTTCTCTTCTCCACCGTGAGTTTGCTCAATCATGTTAGAGAAGTCACAGTTTATCAGGATCAGGTCACCTTGTGCAGTGTAAGGATAAAAACACCCACCTGGTAAGGTTTATGTAAGAAATACAACCAGATGACATATGCAAGGCACAGAAAATGCTCTAAATTGGGGTTGAAATGTTAAAGGAAGAGTGTTTCAAATCCTAGTAGTCTGATAAAATGGCTGTGTTGTTCAGGGCAACAAATGGGTCCAGAAAGAACCCTCCTTGAAAATCTTTTACAGAGGAAGCTACAGATCTTGTGTATTTTAGGAGATCTTCTAAGCAGACAAACCCTAAGATGATTGGATGCTATGGCAATGGCCTGAAATCATAAAAGCTTTTATACATTCTCTTTATCTAGCGTTCTGTTGTTTTAGATGTCTATGAAATCTGAATGCCTCAGGTATTCATGGCAAGTAAAGGGCTCTGTACCACCTGGCTCTCTATCAGCAAGAGAAAATTTGTTCTTCAGCACAGGCCATAAACATTGTTACCAGTTGTCTCACACATGCACACCAGCTTGAACCATGTGTCTGTGGGGACCCCAACAAATCTGGAAGTATATTCACATTTTTTAGAGGATGCAAAAATAGATTTTGCATTATACTTCAATACAATGAGGAGATGGCCTCAACAACAGGGGTATTTGCCCACAAAAGTTTACAAGAAGATGTTCATCAGGGCAACATTCTTTGCATGGTTAGACAGGAAAAGTCCCAAAACGGCTAAGATTCCCCAGCCAGCATGAGGCACAATCCCACTGCCTCCCCCCGCTCAACAATTTAAGCTCCAGGTAAGCCTCCAAATGCAGAGGCTTACATGTATTCAATGCACAGAGTGAGATACAGCAGTGGCAACTGCCACTGTGACTTGTACCACATATCCTGACTATTATTTTCAGCTATCTACATTAAGCACTAGGGAGGGGGAAGAAAGGAAATTAGCATAAACTGCTCACCCCTTCCTCCTCTCCACCTGACTCCAGCATACCCTTTTCCACATCTGCAAGGTCCAGTGGCCACACTGGCTGGGAGGGATGCGGTGGCAGCATCTTGGCTTTTGGAGTCTCAGCCCCAGGGCCAGGGCTCCAAACAATCCTATGTCCCCACAGATAACATCGGGAGGCCCTATGATTGCATTCTTAGTGTATCATTCCTCTAATGCTAAACCAAAGATCTTTGGGTCCTCTCCCAAAGATCTTACAACGTGAACAACCTCATTTGAGAGAACAGAACTTGTCTCATAATTTGATCCCATGCTGCACTGAGGTTTTTAGGTCCAACCAGCACTTTGCATTATGGCCTGAAGTGGACTGGTAGCCAGTGGACTGGTAGCCATATTATTGTAATATGAGAATCTCATGCTCCCTATAACCTGCCCTACTTATTTATCTCATGTCCTAACCTGCCCTGCCCATGTGGCTGTGGCATTCATATTTTATTGAGAGGCCTTGCATGGTGCAGTCAGTGTATTTCCTAGCTCTACATGGTAAGGGAAGGAAGGAAAACTTTCAGGGTTACTGGCTAGTCAAGAGTTCGTTCCTGGCCCCCTCAAAATAGTAGCCCCTTCATCATGTATATGCTCTGCCATATTGCCATAAATAAACTATTGCAACCATGATCTTTTCCTGTATATTTACTATAGAGGATCCATGCGCATAGGAAGGGACTTCATATTGTTCACCAAGAAGGAAAACACAATGACATGTCTTCTGTTCTCTCAGACTTTTTGTGAAACAGAAGGTCTTGACGAGGTATGTCTGCCTTTGTTTATTTATTTATGTGTACCCTGCTTAATAAAAACTATTTAAGCCAAGAGTCCTTCCAGATAGGGACTTTATTGTGCGACCACCCAGCCTGTGTCATGGCCCCTCTGAAGGAGTCTAGAGGGTGGTGTAAAGCCCTTTCACAGCCAAGCATCACAGAGAAGCAACTAGTATCAAGATCAGAGAGAGTCTGGGCCCTTCTTGGAAATGGCCACCCATCAACGCTTCTCCTTAAAATGGGGAAGCTTTGGAGCTCCATACCTGCAGTGTGCCTGATCATCTGTCAGGTGCACCATCGGTAGGGTGGCTTAGAAGCCAACAGTCTGATTTAGTGTTTGTGTGTCTATGCACCAGTTCCAGACTCTTGCTTTATATTTTCCTACTAATTTAGCTCTTTTCTAAAACTCCCTGTGCTTGGATTTTGAATTTCTATCTGATGTTGCCTTTGGAACGCTGTCCCCACACAACCACCAGCCAGACAGTGTGCATGCATTGACTGCATTCACACATAATACTAAACTATTCTGCACAGTCAGCCCATGGTGTGGCTTCTTATCTTGGGTTCTGTGTTCATATAGTTCCCATGCATGCATGACTTCCATGCTTTTCCATCTTTTGTCCTAATGATGGTGTCCCATTGGCTCCTGCAGCTGAAAATAAATCCCAGGGTGCACTGCTACTGCCTGTGTCACCTGCCTCTCCCATCCAGGGAGCCTTTTTTGGCTGATGGATGGTGTAAGAATGTTTAGACAAATGGTTCCCCACTTCCTTGGGTGTGACCTCAGCCAGCTGTTCCTTTTCTTCCTGCTCAGAAGAAACAACTGTTTACTAACTAGAGTAGCAGTCCCCTAGATGGCCATGCAGCATGCTGATATGCAAGCATACCTACCCACACCCCATCTCCTCCCCACCCTTTCTTTGTTGCAGATGTGTCCAAGCGCCCCACCCCTGCGTACAGGATTTGCATACATTGGAAAGGGCCACCATGCTGTATTCTGTGTTCTCTAGCACAGGGCAGCTTCACAAGAGCAGAACACTGGCTCTAAGTGCAGAGCAAAGGCACAGCAATTCCAAAGTTCTGCTTGGGTAATCTGTGGAACCAGTCTGGAACATCGAGCACAGCTGCCTCCAAGGTCACTGCTGCTGGAGGTGACCTGGCATGATGCCCCACTGCTGCCGAGATTCTAAAGCTGTGTGCAGGCATCAGAAAGGCTGTGCATAGGCAGAGAAGAAAGGGAGAGCAGAACAGCCAATTACAGTGCTGCTGCAGCCACCTCGGCCGTTGCAAGGCAATCTGGATAGTAAAGAATGCAGACTGCAGTGTCTGCTGTAGTAATGGCTGCTCTTGCCATGAAACTTGCTGGTGGAAACATGGAAACCACAGAGAAACATGAAAACGGGGCTCCGACACAAACACAAGCCATGTTGTATCATGGAACCCATACAACAAACAGAGACCATCCTTGCCATGCATGCTAGGTTGACACTTAAGGTGTGCCCTGGTGGTTTCCACCCTGAGTGTGAGCCCACCCTTTATGTTCCTTTACCTTGTGTTCACTACACATCACATGATCTGCACTCTCAGCCTAGACAGGGCTTTCCCCCTTTGGAAGTCAGAAGGGAAACAATTCATGCTGTTGGACCTGATGGTACTGATTATTTGTTCCAGGGACAGAAGTGTGAGCAAGGTAGCTTGCTGCTGCACTTGAATATCTCTAAACCGACTATTTCACTCACTCTCACTTTCTTATTTTGTTTCTATTTATAGGTCATAGTTCCAATACCTTCATGGACAAGCAGCACAAGAAATCCAATAATAGATGATCCCGAGAAATCCGCCACATAGTTGTCTATAATTTGCAAGTATTCTCCTTTTAAGAATGAAGCTGAACTGATGAAGCAGTTTGATGTCATTTATGGAGAAACGGGTGAGCTTCATATTCCTGAAACTTTCATTTTGCCCAGCCCATAGCAACTGTGCGTGCTAATGCCAATAAAGAGAGACTAGATAAGCAACAGCGTGTGTGTGTGTACACATTCATGCATGCACACACATATGAGGGAGATACCATTAGGGGAACCAAAAGTGTACAAAATGGCAGGTGTGGGGGGGAGCCAAGAACAGCCTAATGAGTACAGAAAAGGCACAAAATGAAGAATTTATTTATTTATTTTTCGATTTATATCCTGCCTTTTTCCTACAAAGGGCTCAAGGCAGCTTACATCTCCTCCTCCATCTTATCCCCACAACAACAACCCTGTGAGGTAGGTTGAGCTGAGAGTCTGTGACTGGCCCAAAGTCACCCCGTTGGCTCCATGGCTGAGCGGGGACTAGAACCCAGGTCGTCTGAGTCCCAGTCCCAGGCTCTTAACCACTACACCACACTGGCTCTAATTCTGGAAGACCATAATGTTTGCCCACTATTTTGCAACCTCTGAATCACCATAATAAAAGCTATTACCCTAATATGGATGTTGCAGTTTCTCTTTTGGCCTAGAATGGATTTTTTTGGAGGACAGCAAATTTAGCTGTTCAGTAGTGGAATCTTATCCTGGAAGAAGATTGTTTTATCCTGCCTGCTGCTGTGATTTATTAACAAACTACTAGTAACTCTTGGGAAAGTCTCAAGTACAACCTGAACCACCTTAGGTTCTAGTAGAAGTTTGTATGAGTGCCTTCAGGCTCCTCCCACATTCCATCTTAGGTCTGTAACCAGATGTGGACACCATGGCTTGAACCGCACACGCTTTTCCCGCCACTCTATTCCCCTTTCTGCTTTGGCTGATGTAGAGTTCTAGTGTTTGCACATTATTTTGTGACCTTTGGTTGGCTTCATATAAGATATTACCTAGTTGTGTTTTTTTGGTAATATTTAAGGCTACCTTTGGTTTCCATATGACCATTTCAGTGGGTATCTTTAAGAATTAGAAAAAGTGATATTTCTGTGATCACTTTTAATCTTCACATCTAGGAACATTGCTGGTGATATATAATGTGAAACTCATGCTCAATGGTGAACCAGAACTTGACATTATAACTGATACAGTGGATATTCTGGATGCTGGAACTTCTGAGAAGTAAGTTTTATAGTCATCATAATGAACAAAGCATGTGCATAAATATTTTGGAAAATCCTCCTTACAAACTGTCTGATTTGCAAGGACACTACAAACTACAAGTATCTGACCTCCAACATTTTTCACAGTGTACTTAGAACCCCATTGCTTTAAAAGTATGTTTCTAATCCTAATGGCACTGATATATGTTTGAAAAGAAATCCCTTCCAAAAATGCTCACATGGATTTTTAAAAAGATTAAAAGAAGAGGCAACAAATGGGAATGATCCAGCTCACTCTGTACATGCACAGGACGACACACAGAGCAGAAGCCTCTGTGCGCACGCGCACACAAACAGCAGTGCACTCAAATCTCCTAAATCCTGTGATGGAGTATTCCAGTCCGGTTGACTCCATGCTCCCACCTCCCCTCCGGTACCTCTCCTGATAACTCCAGGACCTTCTTTTTTGTGTGTGACCTCTTTTCTCAGACTAGCTTAGAGTGAGCTAACGTGGAGGTAGCACACAGGCATGCCTCCTTGCTAGACTACAACTTCTGTGTTCCCTAAAACTCTCCACATTTTTATCCAAAGATAGCAAGAATGGACTCCAGGGACACTTTTATGAGAATGCTGCAGTCCACAGCACTGTCAGTATCACAAAGGTCCTCTAGTGTTCACATTTGTCCGGCTCAGCTTCTGGAAATACCAAAGCAGCTTATAAGGGGCTCCCAGTGGACAAATGGCTGTGTTATTGGTCCACTTAATATTCAGACTCTTTTCTAAGACATGGATTGTATTTGCCAGCAAATTGCATTTTGACATTTCAATATATTTTTCAAGTTTCTCCAGATATGTATTGCAGAAACAGGAGATGTTCAGGCCTTCAATCTTTTTCTGGTCAACTAGGCCTGGTGGGAAGGTATAGAATCATAGAATAGCAGAATTGGAAGAAGCCAAGAAAGCCATCGGGTCCAACCCCCTGCTCAGTGCAGGTCTCCAAATTAAACCATCCCTCTCTGACGGCAAGTAGATTGTATGTAAGTGTTGAGAAGGCAATTAGAGCACATCCTTGAAGACTCAGGATGTAGTCAGTCACACCTATATGTGATAACCCATGTGTCTGTTATAGCTCACATTTTGTTTGATGAGAGATGGGGGTCTGTGCCTGTTGTAAATCATCATCAAAACAAGCAGATAAGATAAATGTATGTTAATTGGTGCAACTCTGAGTGTTGCAATTTACATCCAGACTGCCTGGACAGCTTTATATTTCTCTCTGTATAACCAAAGAATGTTATCCATACAAGGGATATTTCTTTCAAGGGAGAAGCACTAGTTACTTCAGGGATACCCTGTCAGTTCCAACTCTCTCTCTTGCATCAGCTGATGTGCATACTTGATTAAACCTACCCACTTGGATGAACCTAAATGTCCAATGAAGTTACATTTCTTCTACTGTATGTACATGTTCTGCTCTAGAAAATAGTGATACTGTGTAGCCATCTTATGGGGCTTCCAGAACAGTTTTTTTTTTTTTTTTAGTGTTTCAGAGTTTGTGCACTTCCTTTTTGTTCAAGCTCATTATACAACTAAATTCTGCTACCCAGTAGAGCTCTCCTTTGTGTTTCTAAAATAATTCTGTCTTAAATGCTTTCCTGTGCCAGTCTTCCAGAAGAACGATCACTAAGAGCCTATACAGCTCTATTGTATTTTGACCCACGAATGAGAATATTCATTCAAGCCAAGAAGGTAGAAACCAAGTGTTTGCCATACAGCTTTTACGGACCCAGGTGAGTCAGCGTCTCCATTCCAAAGACTGGCATTTAAATTTTCAAAGCAATGTGCTCAAAAACATTAGCAACCCTCTTTCGGACACAGCGAGAAATTGATTTTGATGGCTGGGCCATTTATAATCTGAGCCAAGTTCAAATCGCACTGCCAGGCAGGAGTGTTAAAAGGTAATCAGCTGTGACCAAACACTTTGACCCAGAGTAAAGAACACTTTACATAAGATAATTGCCTAACACTGCAGGAGAAATGTGCAGGGGGGTGTTGGTACATGTGTGTCTGTTTTTTTCTGTGTTTGTTTTTTGCTGTTTTCACTTGACTGAATGTTGTTCAGACAGTTCTTTAAAGCTGCCACTAAACGATTATAGGTCTCTAATGAAGTTCATTTTTTAATGGACTTCTAATCTTGTAATGGGCAGCATTCATCTCAAGTCAGGTTTAGCAAGCCAAATGAATGTTGTGTTGTCCCAGTAAAGCTGGGAATTCATCCAGTTCTAACAGAACTTCCCGGTAGGAGGGCTATAAAGCAAATACAACGTAGCAGTCAAGTTCATTGTACTGCACATGTGGGCATATGTACATACTCATTTCTCAGATTTCTGGAACATTTGTGGATTTAACGCTCTGAGTTTGCCTGGTACAGAACCTCTTTCACCTTTAGATCCAAAGTCTGTTTTGAAAAGTGTGTAGGTTCTGCACTCCAGTGATGAGTGAAGCCAAATGCAAAAGAGGTGGAGCCCAGAATTCCAGCATACTGTGCCTTAAATCTCTTGCTGCCAGTAACTAAGCCTTCGGACAGTCACTTCAGCCTTTCAGCATATGGGGAGAAATGGAGAAAACCTGGAAAATCACCCACTGATTAGTGTTCAGGAGAAAGGGGGTAAAGCCAGGTAAAGCCTGGGCATTGCCAACAGGAGAAATTCAGAAATCCAGACCACAACCTAAAACCTGTTGTGTTCTAACTCCTACTCTAACTAGTTCCCTTGTGCCTGGGCAGAATACTTTGTGTAAGTTATGAAAAACCATCCTGACAGTAAACTTTGAGTTCACTATACAATGTATGTATACAATACAATGTTGCATATGCATCATAGATATACAACTCCGTGTTAAACCACTATACAATCTATGTTGACTGTCCGCTCCTGAGGCTTGTGGAAGCTCAGCTGAATGTGGAGCTTAAGGCACAAGCATGGCCTTCTTCCCCTTCCCTCTGCACCATTACTGTTTAAATGACATATATACAGAAAAGGATCAGCATATTCTGCAATTTTTGCATGTCATTTTATTAGAATATGTGCCTCTCTCCCATCTGGAAAGTAAGTACCCTTTGCAGCAGGGGGAGAGCAAGGTATAGAGTTGCAAATGTTCAAAGTGAGCATCTATAAAATGGGAATCATACTTCACTGGGTGTTATGAAGATCATTCATTATATGACCTTCATACTGAGTGCCATCTACATATAAATCACAACTGAATGCTTTGTATCTTAACAGGATGTATCCATACATATCATCTTCATTCAAACAAGAAGCTAAAAATGAATTGCAAAAGGCAGAAATGGAAGTGAAGACGGGTAGGCAGTGTCCTTTAACTCTAATAATATAATGCTGGTGTTTATATTCTGAAATTTTTGTTAAGGTTCAGATGGTGGCAACCACAAGAAGAGCCTTTTCAGTGGTGGATCCCCATTTATGGAACAAGATCCCCACTGAGGCCCTGCTGGCACCAACCTTGATGCCAGATTGAAACTGTCCTCTCTGGCAGAATATTTAATTATATTGGGGCATTGTTAACTGCCTAACAGGTCTCATGACTTATTTTGAGTAAACCATTATAGCTTTATTACTATTTGGTTTTAAAATTGGTTTTTAAATGTTGTATTGTATTTTATGATGTTTCACTGAACTGCATTTTCATTGTACTCTTATATATTACATTTATTGTTATGATGTTGCCATAGGGTTTTAGTTATTGTGTGGTATAGCAGTATTAATATTACTGGTAAAGGTAAAGGCTGTGCAAAAGGATGGCATAAAAACAAACAAACAAACAAATAAATAAAGGTTTCCCCTTGACTTAATGTCCAGTCATGTCTGACTCTAGGGAGCGGTGCTCATCTCTATTTCCTAGCCGAGGGAGCCAGCATTTGTCTGCAGACAATTTCGGTGGTCATGTGGCCAGCATGACTAACCACCAAAGTCCACGGAATGCTGTTAATATTACTGTTAAGTGGTTGCTAACTTTATTTGCAATCATAAATGTATCACTTCTAATGTTGGCTTTGCTTTTTAACAAATTATTTCATGTACTAGATGGCCATCTTTCCCTGTTGCATGGAGTCTTTCACAGTAGTACTTCATGGATTATCTATTAAATAGTTGGTCTCATGGGGTCCATTCAACAATGTGGCTATCACACTTTTGATGGGCTACAAAGAAAACTAGCTTTGTTGTAAGGCTGCTGAATTCCTAGAGTTGGTTCTCTTCAGAAAGCAGTGGTTTAGCTATAAGTTATTTTAGACCCTCAGCTCAATGGTCTTATGCTTTCATCTTTAGATGGCTGTATCTATTACTTCAGAAGCGAAACATATAACTAACATCTCTTTGCAAAACTTACTCCTGCACTTTGCAAAACTTCCTCCTGCATTCTAGAATAACAATGTTTGCTAATCCTGACTTTGAGAAAATATTTTGTGCAAATGCAGTTTTGCATTTTCAGCTTGCTTAAATCATTGCACTTTCATGACTACAGAAATCAAATGCTGGTTGCTTCTGCACCTGGTGCTCTGTAGGTGGTCATTCTACAGGGGTCAGAGCTGGGGGTCAGACTAGATGGCCCGGGAGACCCCTTCTGACTCGCTCTGTTTCTGTTTTCTATTCTCTTACCCAGGCTGTTGGTCTTGGGGCTAGCCACATCCCTGACCACCTAACTTTTATAATATGTGTTGAGTACAAAAAGATTGCATCTTTAGGGAAGTTGGATACTCACATCATACCTGAAACTGAAAGAACCAATTGAATAATTGCATAGGATAAAAATGAGGGAAGTTGTCTTTGAATAGTGGTGATGTGACAAGAAGGCTTGACCTTCAGATTTCTTTAACTTGATCCCACACAAACACAAGTCAGCTTTGAAATGTATTCATAAGTCAGGGGCTATTCAAAGTGGACTCCATTTTATGTGTTTCTTCTGCCCTTCCCTTTTCCCAAATCTGGTATGCTCCCATGTATGTCATCTGGATATGATTGAGATCAAGGTGGTTAACTGGAGTCAGTCATAATATGCCTTGTTTAATGATACAAATGCACTGACAAAAGTTTGTGCTTTTTCTTGTAGCTGAAGACACTGTGAAAGAAGCAAAGTATGCACTAAAACAGTCCATGGACTCTCTTTTGCATGAATATAGTGAGGTATTGTCACAAGGATTTTAAAAAGTTTACTTTATATAGGGGGTATTCTTCTTTGCAAAGGACATGGTCTGTCCTGCTGGTCTTATGCTTGAGCCCGATTGAAGCAAATGGCCCCTGTGCGCCTCTATGGAAGGAATGATTTGTTAAGGCCAGACTTAGGTTGTAGGTGGACATGACTTAAATCAGATCTTGAGAGTATGTTCTCTATTTCAGTGTTCCTGAGGCCAGTAGAAAGCTAGAAGCAAGCAGGAGATCATGCAAGGACAAGGGCAGGCTCCTGCTATTAATTCCAGAGAGTTTACTGCTCACCAAGCATAGGGGGTAATGATTTTTTAAACCCTCTGTTCCTTTATGTCAGGGGTGCAGAACCTTCAATTTTTCATACCAGTTCCATTCCAGAGAAACTCTCTTGGACTGCAGTCCAGTGGTGGGTGGGCCTGATAGCAAAGGGGTTGGTCAAAAACAAAAAGCTAATCACTGCACACAGGTATGTGTGTACATGCGCGCATGTGCGCGCTCACAATAATAGCAGAATATTGTAATTTCATGCTCTTCCAGTCCATAATTAAGCCTTATGAGGGATATTTCAATCTTTTAGAATGGGGGAAATGCATGGAAGCCAAGAAACTATCAAACAATTGGTAGATGAGGAAAGAGGCTCTCAGAGGACTGGAACTGGCCCCCAAGGCCTGTTGTTCTGCACTGCTGTTTTGTATATCTGAAGAGGCCTCTGAAGTTGGAGCACGCACGCACACACACACACACACACAGCTCAGTCAGGTCCCAGCCTCAGCCCCGATGCCTCAAGTATTTAATGTTGCTCCAGTTCACATCCATGGCCTCAGGCAGGAGGACTTTCCAGGGATTTGTGTCCAAAATCTGTGTTTCATGTAGCAAGCAACTTTTATTGGCCCACAATTGCCAATGTAGAGCATCAACATTTCCAACATTTGGCCTTGTTACCTGATTAGACTTATAAGTTAATTGCTTGAAAATATAGACTATGAACATTTTTAATGCTAGGCTTTTGAAGGTTTTGCCTACCATGACCTTTAAACAGTAGGGAAGATTTTTAAATCCTGTTAATTGCCTATTTACTATTGCTGAGGATTCTTAAAGTCATTATTAAGCTGCCTTCCCTTCAAGTTCAATTATTTCCTAAAGGATGTTTGGAAGGCACTTTCCACTTCAGAGGACTTTCAACTTGATAATTATAGCCTAATTGTACCTGTACAAATTATCATTTATATTAATAGGGAACTTTCACTAATACTTATCCCCACTATGAATTGCTAGACTTGTACAACAATGATTCCTTATTACTAACATTTGAAAAGCAGCAGCTAAATATTTATATAGTTTCAACATTATGATAGGTACTGTATATACATAGTGCTCGCACAGTTGAAAATGAGGCAGATTAAATACTTAGGAATGAAAGAACATAAGGAAAGCTATGCTGGATCAGACCAATAATACATCTAGTCCAGTATTCCGTACATTTTGTAGCAGATCAACTGCCCACAGGATCCCTGAAGCAGGTTGAGTATGAGAGTTGCTCACTTGTGCACACTCCTCAGCAACTGGGGTATGCAGGCAGGCCACCTCTGGTAAAGGCTAGTAGCCACTGATAGGCTCCTCTTTCATGAATCTGTCCAATCCCTTGTAACAAGCCTGATTCCTGGCCATCACCACTTCCCATGCAGTGAATTCCCTAGTTTAACTATATGTTGTGTGAAGAATGATTCACTATAATTTCATACATTCATAATGGGACCAAATCTAATTTTGAGACCTTTCTTTCAACCTGTCTCCTTTTACCTTCCCAACAGACCAAGGTGAGAGACTTCAGACTGTAGTGTTCTATTATATTAAAGCTGGTAATATAAAGGTTGATAACAAGAAGTATCCATTAAGTTAATGGTGTATTTATTCTAAAGTGAATTCCAAGATGAATTCTTCCCCTCTCTTCTCTCCAAACTGAGTTGTCACCACCCTCAGGGAGGTTTGTAGTGCTTGTCTGCAAGACAGCAGGACTTAATACTAGACCACTGCATTGATAAAATTATGTCCTTCCTTCTCTGACCCTCTGTGTTCCACACTGCCTACCTCAGTATCAGAGGGACCTGATTCTCCCCAGCATCTAGGCTTATCTCAGAGCTCACTGGCCTTGAAAATTCAGCTAAGCATTCCAACCCCACTTCTCTGAGTTAAAATTCGGATTCTTTAGAATGCTGTATTTTTGGTAGGAATGTGACCCAGTGTATACATTAATCCCCTATGTCATGTGTTTGTTGCGGGGGGGGGGACGGTTATACTAATGGTATAATAGGGTGAAAATGCACAAATATGCTTATGAATTTTCATGCAAAAATATCTCAACATTTGGGATGCACCAAACTTACTAGTGAAGAAATGAGAAACAGATAAACCAAAATCAACAGATTTGTTCACCTACTCAAAATAAGAGGTTGAGTGTCCTAGCTACTTCTTCTCACTCAAATCAAATTCCAGTCACTTGGGAGGATACTGGGGCTATCCAATATGGCTTCATGTAACCTTCCACACTTGGAGGATTATGGGCATCTATGATTGGCAGAATGAGGGTGGAGGTAAAAGTTGCCTCCATGCTTCTCCCACCCTGCAAAAGCCTTAAATGGCAGATTTCAGTCATCTAATTCTTTTGTCCCTGTGGGTGAGGAAAGGAGGTTGTGGTACTGTCAGGATCCTACAAATGCTGATGGAACCTGCCTCCCACCTTCTGTATCCTCAGAACACCCACAAATACCATCTGTGAGGTTGTTCAAGCAGAGTCACAGCCAGTGTGGTTCTTTCCATGCCAGCTGCAAGAGCAGAGGGAAAGTGTTTCAACATCAGTGTGGGTGTTTAGGTACTTTCCAAGGGCAGTGTTTAGGTACTTCCTGTTTCTCATTACCTGCCAAGGACTATTGTCAATGTCAACCAACTGGAAGGTCACACTACATCACCAGTGACCTGCATTAGCTTTGGTGGGCCAGGCATTGTGTACGCCTGTTCTTTTAAAATAAATACAGGGCTGTAGACACTGTGGTATTGTAAATTCAACATTTCCAGTATAGTTGCATGATTTCCAGTAACTCAGACCGTAATAGTTCTATATAATCTTTGATTTAAATGTGTGATAAAATAACTTGTTTCACTGCTCTTCCGTTCTGATGCTGGGGGGAAAGCATGCTCAGCTTGCATTACAGGATGCTTTGGAGAATGAAAAAAGAATGAGGGAAAATCTGGAAGACAAAAAAAGGCAAGTTAAGACATATCATGACTTTATATTTGTGAAACTGAATACAAAAACAGACACTGTTTGTACCTTAAGTGACCAATGGCAGTTGAAACATAAACTAGTCCTGAGATAGATGTGAGTCATATATTTCTGGCTATTATGTTTTCACAGCTCTGCAGGCATGACAATGCTTCTGAGACCATGGTTGTTGAAAACTAATGTTAGAATGGCCCTCATTTTTATTTTATATCTTGACAGCACTAAAAGTCACAGTTCAGTATGACTAGAATAAAGAGTGGGCCCAATTCGACACTTAATCACTTAAAGGGCAACTCTATGCATGTTTAGACAGGAGAAGAGGCCTACAAATTGCAGCATGCAGTGGCCAGCATGGGAGCTGTAACCCTTCTTTCTGTCTAAACATTCTAGAATTGCACCCTTAGGAAAGCATGTTTCAGGAAATTCTGCTGAGGAATATACTTGGTTCCAAACGTGAAAAATTGAGTTATAGTATTGTGGCTTTCAGTGCTAATAGAAGCACCAAACTAATGCAATTTTAACATCTTCCCACATCTAAGACAATCTTCACAATAATCAAGGAGTCATACAGTAAAGCCTATGCACATCCATGGCACAACAGTCCCTTTGGGTTAAGTGGCACTTACCTCTAAATAAGTGTGTAAGAGGTGTGTGACTGCCATCCTATACAAAATGGCCTTAAAGAAAGTGCAGTTGAACTCAGTGGGGCTTGCTTAAGTGTATAAGATTACATTGTCAATCAAAATCTTAAAGATTACTCAAGAGCTGCTCTCCTGAAATATAGAATGCATACATTTTTAATACTGATGTGTGCATTTTTTCATTGCAGCATCAAAGGGCACAATCCTATGGCCACCAGGAAGCAAGTAATCCTGGGGATGTCCAAGCCCCTATTCCTCATGAGCGGGGGTAAAATACTTTGATGGCCAAAGAATGGTCATCTAAGTATTTTAGAGGGAAAGGAAGGCACCTTTCCCTCTAACTCCCACAGACTCTGCTCTGGAAGGGCACTCCTATCACCTCTCTCCTCCTTTCTTGCATGCTTCTCCTGCCTTTCATTGGTTGTCTGTGATGGTCTGTATTTGGAGGACTACAGGCAACAATGTTGGATGTAGCACAAAGTGCTTGAGCAAGCTCCTGATTTATCACTCACCTGTTTAAACAAAAAAGTCCTACAATTCCCAACTACACCCTAGCCAGCCCAGTAGGAATTGTAGGACTCATCCTAAACTGAATGTTAACACCTGTAGTTATAAGCCTAAATAAGTTGTGGCAGGTAGTAGGCTTCAAAATGAAGTTGTCTGCCACTGGAAAAGTCTTCGTTTTAAAATGTTCTTTGTTCTCACTGTTTAGAAATCTAAGGAGACCTAAAAAGCTCTTCCTAATATTTGGAATTAACATTCAGAACAGAAGTCAAGATGGCATACTTATCTATAACAATAATCATTTGATCGGGATGTTTGAAAAAGTGGGACCACAGAGGAATATGGACTCTTAGTAAGTTTTCTTCCAGTTTGAACATTTGAAGGACACCCTTCAGTGGTGCTGAAGGTGCAATCCTATGCATGTTTAGACAGAAAAAGGTCCTGAAACTCTTTTTTCTGTCTGAACATGTAGGATCACATTCATATAGGTGCATTCATTACAGTTGCCAACTAGCAGTCTTCAAAATCTTTCTCAAATATAGACACAAGTCTGCATAATTCTGAGCACTATTTTAAAGAACTGAACTTTTTAGGAAAGAAAAAGAACTGGTTTAGGAAAGAAAACAGATTTATATTTATGTACTTAAATTTAGAAAGACCTATTTGTCGCACCACTGACAATTTCTGACCTATATCATGTGCTGTCCTTTGTTTCTGTTGCTGCAGTTTTGGTGGTGGAGCTGTGGGCATTGTAGATGTCCCCTTAGAAATCATGGAGCCAGCACACAACAAGCAAGCCTTTGCAAATGTCTCAGAATATCACCACTTGTTGAAAGCAATGGGCAGCTACATCCTTCAGTATTGGAAAGACATAGGCATCAATAAGTTGTTACATCTCAGCAATGGTTTATATAACCATATAGCCTTGTTCAGGTGCAATGTGTGTTAGGAGTCCTGGGCCATGCACTCCAAGCCCCTCCTCAATTTCCAACCCCAGTGCTGCCTCACCTCATCCAGTTGTGCATCCCCCTATAAGAGGAGTGGCCACTGAACAAGAGGAGAATAAAGCAGAGAAGAATGGGTGGTCGGAAGGGCCCATCTCTTCTGCATGTAACCAGCCCTAGGATCAGTAATTTCGTTCTGTTTTGTTTTGCCATAACCAAAACAATGTCAGGGACAACCAGCTCACCTAGGGTACTTCTCAGTGCTTCATGTGTGACATGTTACAAATATTTGTTCTCCAGGGTCAAAAAGGAGGAACCTTGTTTTGGAACCACTTTGGATACCTGAGTGATAAGTGGTACGAAAGACCCTCTGAAATGATTCAGTACAAGAGAAGACGAGCAATAGAAATTCCTGACATTGTTCAGTGTGGTAAGTTTCTACAATGGGACAAAGTTTTAAAATAAAAGGATGGGAGAAAGACAGGATCAGCAGGATAAAAATGACCATTCTTTTTTTCCTAACTTCAGATGTGTTTCTTCAAGCTTTCATCTTCCTATATGATATACACTGCTGTGTTTTTCACTGCCTTCTTCTTTGAAACGATTCTTTTATAAACAACTCATTTGTTTCACTTTTTGTTACCTTTAAAGGCACCCCATGGGGCAGCTAATGTAACAGGTACCCTTCATGTTTTTGCAGTAAAAGCTTCCTAATATATAACTGAAGTGGCTTTGTAAGCCTCAGTGTATGATAAGGTGGATTAGTGGGTAGTTTCATTGTTTCTGTGTTTTTAGACAAAAGATTTTTTAGGTGTTCTTAAAATTCACTTTCTGCTTGAGGGTATCATCTTTGGGGTGGGTGAGATGGAGGAAAGCAAAGCAGTCATGTGCCTGGTTTTACAACTCCCTATTTGAAGAACTGTCATCTGTTTTGAAAGAGTCTTCTATTTGAAAAGCTGCCCGCCCAGTTCTGGTTTAAAGATAAAGGACCAGTAGAATCATCCATCATCAGTTTGCACCTGAACAGCACATGGAACAGGCAGGATTACACAGGTCACCTGGTCACACACTTCTGCAGGATGTGCTGCATTTCTATTTAAAGTACAATCATTATTTGAAGATTACATCTATACGTGTAAATTAGCAAATGTAGATGTAATGTACATTGCTGCCTTCTTTTGTCCATTTCTGTCTTAAGTGGTCACCCTGGAAGAAAGATGTATACATAGCATGAGACCATGAAGGTTAGAATGGACTATGGTAAAAAGCCTAAGTTTAGAGCCTTATCCTTGCTGCCTACATTTGAGGCATCTCTAACATCCTTTCCCCCCACACTGAGCTGAATACACTTTAAACTTTAATGCACTGAATATGAAGGGAAATAGTTGTGCTTTTAAGGGGAACTCCTCCTAAAATGAGGTTCTCTGATTAGTAAACAAAACTGTAAAGGGGAGGTAATTAAGAGTAACTGATTCATTGTGACATAATAATTTGGAATAATTACTTTTGATTTAACTCTATTAATTTCATTAGATATTTGCCTCAAGTGGAGACTTTTGCCACTTGCCACTGATATAAATCATGGAGGACATCATGATATCTGCGATTGTTCGAAGAGCCCTAACCATAAAGAAAACAAGTAAGCTTTCGAGTTTCAGTTTAATCTAGTCTTTGATGCCCAACAGAAGTCCCTCTTTCTCACTATTCATTTCAATGTACAGCATTACAAAGTTCAAAATGAATGCGCTCTTGGATCAGTTTTTATGCTGATGCCATCTTTAGTGTGTGATTTATGAAAAGCATAAGATGAGTCTGTTGGACCATCCATCTAGTCCAGCAGTCCGTTCCCTTGTGACTGATCTGCTCCCCCTATGAGAAGCCCATGAGCTGAACAGCACACCATCATGTGTGATCTCCAGCAGCCAGCCTAGAGGGGCAGAGTGCCTCTGATACTGAATGTATACAGCCATCATAACTACGCATATCCATATTCCTTCAAAAAAACACAAAACCAAAAACCAAGCATGATGATCTCCAGACCTTCCCTTCCTATCTGCATCTCCTTCGAGATGCTACTGCTGGATCTCCCGCAACTACTTCCACTGTTCATTCTGCCCACCCCCACCACTGCTGCAGACTTTCTTTCCATTACTCTTCCTCCTGCCTGCCGTGGCCTTCCCTTCACTGCTGCTCCTTCCACCATGGCAGACTTTCCCACCTCTGCCATGCCATAGTGGCCGTTCCTCCCCTGCCACCATAACCATGAGGTGGCAGAAGCAGCAAGGGAGTAGAAGGGGGTCATGACCCAAGTGAGGGACAGGGGAAGGAGAAGGAAATCCTGAGCCCGGGAGGAGGCCATCAAAAGTGCAGGGGCAGTGGGAGGATGAAGTACATTGCAAGCCAGGAGGGAGGAGGAAAGAAATCGTGAGTGCAGCAGGGAGAGAGAAGGTACCCAGGTTGTCTATGCCTGCTTTAGGCATTGTACATTTGGATTCTGCAAAAGATGCAGATGATTGCATGTTGCGATAAAACATAGGTAAGACTTTGGCTATATTATTTTGTAAAAATATCCCATGCAGTGCAAAATCCCTGGTCTTCTCTTGGAAGTCGTTGACAGAGCCCAGCTGGAAATGGTTGACCAGAGGCAGATAGCAGCCTATAGGAGGGGCTATGGGAATTGATATTTGACATGGGCTGCATGATTGGCTGTGCGCATGAGTACTGTGTTCTCTGGCCTTGAGACTCCTTCCAGGATTACTTCTTTCTTGCCAAAAAAGTCATGAAGAGAGCACAGACATTTCCTCACAGTAATTTTGTTCTCTTGCATTGATGATTATCATGTGGTGGGTGTAGTGTACCAGAGCATTTGCCCTCCATTCCTCTGGGCACCTTCAACCCACCTCAATCACTGAGAAGCAAACAAAGCCCACTCATAGAGGCCATTCAGGAGCGTAAAAGGAAGCTGGAAAACCTACAGTCTCAGGTGAGCTCTTTGCCAGTATTAAAGCTAATATCCAAGGCACTGTATATGTTCTCACATAGAATTTATTTAGTTAGTTATTTTTATTCATTTCATTTCTATACCACTCCATAACCACACTCTATGGGCAGTTTATTATAGTCCATAAAAACAAGAAAATGCATTATAAATACCATAAATCGAACAACATTTAAAACAATTTAAAAAGGCCAAAATAAGAAGCAAAATGACCTATAAAAAGGAAAACACCTGGGATGAGAATCCCCTCCAGCCCCTGGATAGCCAAGTAAATCTTTAAAGCCTCAGCATACAGGGATTTCTTAACCTGTTGTTGAAAAGATGACAAAGTAGCCACAGGTAGACTGCAGTGAGGAGATTGTTTCATAGATGGGGACATCCACAGTGAAGGCCCTCCCCCTTGTTGCCACCTTCAAGCCTCCCTTGGCACTCGGAGGAAGGCCTCAATTGTCTGAATAGATTGTGGTTGGCAGAGGCACTGTGACAGGTATTGTGGTTCCAAGCCAGCTAAGGCTTTGTTGGTTAAAACCATCACCTTGAACTGGACCCAGAAGCATATAAGCAGCCAATGCAAGTGGGCCAGATCAATAGTCTCAGTTATTAATCTGGCTGCCATGCTCTGCTTGAGCTGCAGTTTCTGAATCATCTTCAAGGACAGCCCCACTTTGAGTGCGTTCTAGTAATCTAATTTAGAGATTACCGGAGCATAGATTGTTGAAACCAAGCTATCCCTGCCCAGTTGGGGGGGAGGGCATAACTGAGCCACTAGCCACCTGAAAGAAGGCATTCTGAGCCACTGAGGCTGCCTGAGCCTCAAGTGACAAAGATGGATCAAGGAACACCCCCATACTCTGAACCCTCTCATTCAGGGGGAGTGCAGCCTCTTCTAGAACAGGTTGAATGGTCAGAGGAAACAGCCACCAACAACATTTCAGTCTTGTCTGGAAGGCGCTTCAGTTTTTTTTAGCTCTTGTCTAGTTCCTTGTCTCAGCCCGTTTAACTCTGGCATCTAAGTCTCAGAGGATGCAAGAGATTTTGTCCTGGAAGTGTACAGCAAATATATTTCAGTGGGCCTCAGATGGTTCTAAGATGTCCTTGGGGCCAGCATGTAATAGGCCCCAGATAACCCGGAAAAGCTCCACTGGGCAGCTAATGGAAGATTGAGTAGAGGCAGTGAGATGTTGTTTGCCATCCTCACGGCTTCTAAATATACCCAATGGTAGATGGAAGCCAGGTTTCAAAGGCATCCATTGGGAGTTTTTCTCTATCTGTACTCAAGTTGTCTTCTGTCTTGTTTCATTGCCCTCAGCTCTGTGGTATCCCACAGAGTTATATGAGATCAACATCAGAGGAAGCACTTGAGTAATCGTGTTAACCAACAGATCGTGGGTCTGTGTCCCATAGTTCAAACATGGCTTCAGCAGAAGCACTAGCCATATCAAGAGGAAAACTTCTCCAGAGCCTTTGAAAAGCATCCAGATCCATTAGTCTGTAGAGGTGAACCATCTTAATAGGTACCCCACCCTTGTGGAGGGGAAAAGCCTCCATGAGTCTAAATCTCAGTGGGCAGTGATCTGACCTTGACAAAGGAAATGAATCAAAGTACACCACATGCAGAGCACCATCCTCTTATCCAGCTGAAAAGACCAAGTCCAGTCAGGGTGACCTCAGAGTGATTGTTGAAATCCCCCAGAACAAACAGCCTGGGAGATCACTTCCCAGACCATCTCCATCAGCTGCACCACTGAATGAAACAGGAACAAGCCAAAATGTGCTTCAGGGTGATTTTTGGAGAATAAGACAAGTTCAAAAATCACTGGTTCTCCTGTCCCTAGGCAGTGTGTGTGTGTGTGATAGTAATGGGAGTGATTCACAATTTCAATTTTCAGTTTTAAAAAAGGGAACAAACTTGCCCATAGGGAACATTCCTCTACAAAACCATGAGCTTCCTCTCATGCTCACAATCAATCAACAGAAACTACCCTCTCAATACCCCAACCTAAAAATGGAATGGTTAATTGAGGGTGGCCATTTTGTTTTAGCCTGCTTTATGGTAGATCTGTCATAGCAGAAGTCCAGCACTGTTGACTAGAAAAATAGAACCATTCTAGCGACTCAGACTTTTGCAATATGCTCAAAAATGCTGCTGTTGATTTACTTCAGGCCTGCAAGATATGTGACTGACCATGCTGAATATACCTTGCCAGCTTGGAATAGCACTTCACTGGGAGCTTAATCTTTTTTTCCTTGTTTTCTGCTCGGGACTGCCAAAACAGAGAAGTTGCTGGCGAGGTGCAATACATAGGTGGCGGTCCATATGTGACTTCGTGGGTCAGTTCTCTTGTAAGCCTACTATGCTGACTGAATAAAATGAGTAGGATGAAGCTTAAATGACAGGCATACATCATTTAAGATGCACCATTCAGTTTATGTACAATGAAAGAATTTGGATATATTACCATGCATTATGCATATTGTTCCATTACCTGTTGTGGAGGAGAGAGGAGGGTTTGCTTTATTTTTCAAAGTAAGTCTCAGAAACTTTTCCATAAACATATACCCAGCATCCCCACATATACTCAAAACAGGGCAGCTCAAGACATTTCTTTGCCTTCTGAGGAATATCAAAAGGCATACACAGTCCAAGTCAAGTGTCATGGCAGCCCAAGCAGGCTAATTTATTTTGGTACCCCAGGCACAAAGTCCCACAAACACATCTTCCTAAGAGCAAAACCATATTGGAATCATCAATTAAATAGCTACCCATGTGCTGCCTTTCCATGCACCCCAAATCAGCTGCTGGAGGCAGCTCCTTATTCTTATGCTGAGGCTGGCCCTGCCACTCAGCTGTACAACCATCAGCAACATTCTCTTCCGTAAAACAAAGCTTGTATTTGTGTCAGTATAATTTTAGTAGCAGGCAACAGACGTGTGTATGAGTGACATTTGGCATGTGCAGATAAGGCATTCTGCTCCCTGAAATGGGGTTACAACAAAACAACCTGAGAGCGGCGACATTGCTGGCAGTTGCAAGGATTCATGTATGCATACCGTTGGATTAAAAACAGTCAGTATAAATATATAAATCACATGTGCTTTCTGCTAGAATTGTGTTATGAGTCTACATTTGATTATGAGCAAATTGCCTCCCTGTTCACACATTAATCTAAGGATCTATCTCATCTCACTTTGTAAAACAGAATTGGAATCCATTCTTTCATTCCTAAATGCTCTCGTACCTCGGGCTTCACTTTCTTTCACAATTGACGCAGTTCCTTAATAAAAGCTTTTAACTACGTTGTATTTGTCATTATCCTGGCAGCAGTAACTGGCCTGCTGGAGCTCTTTAAGCATATCTGTGCTTCTTGTCCTGTGTGAATCCATACTGAATACCTCTCAAACTGTGCAGATGGACTGCACACAGTACAATCAACTACTTTCATTTGTGATAACAATTTCCAAGAAAGGATTGCATTCTTGGTAGCAGAAAAAGTGACAACTGTAACAAGAAAAACGACTATTTCAGTCCATTTCAGTCCTTTTTTCTAACTTTGGACAGTGAATAAACTCCACAGGACTTCTTTGCCTGGGGAAGAAGGTTGAGATGTTTGTTCATTGCACTTGTACATTTATTCAAGCAAATAAGAGTATTTTCATTGTTCATATAAATACTAAAGGGATTTTTGAAAAGATGGGTTTAGTTTTCAAAATAGTAATAGGATTTCTTAACGCAAAGCTTGGTCCAGATTTCTCTTTCCTGAGAACTGTCTTGTGTAGGAAATGTTTCCCTTCTTTCTCCATCTCTAGAATTTTGACTATAAAGGTTCATTTTACTCAGTGCTTTTGACCTTTCACTCATCTAAAATAATTTTCATCTAAGCTTCAATATGTTTGATTAGGTTTGACAGGCACCTAAGCTGACTTTTCTGATCTTGCATTATCTCAGGATGTCCTAAATCTCTACAGATGCTGGTTTTAACCTGTGAATGCTTATAGAGTTTGGGATCACAATAGTTGTTGGAGAACCTCTCCAGTTTCTACCCATACAACTATGCTTAACATCCAAGGCTTTCTTCCAGGTGCCAGATCAGAGGGAGGCTTAGTTGGTCTCAGCAAGGAAGCAGGCTTTCTCAGTGGTGGCCACCTGATTGTGGAACAATCTTTCCCCATTTTGGCTCCCTTGACACTAACAGCTAGACTATCCCTGGTTGTAAATTACCCAGAGATCTTAGCCTATGGGAAGTTATAGAAATGAAATGAAATGAAAAATACCAACTGTCACAAAGTGTGAAAGGTATATATGCCTTTGAAATGAATTAATCTTCTTTAGCCTCTTTGGTACTGATTTACCATTTGGGCCAGCACCGATAATTACAAGAATCCTGGAGTCAGTGTTGCTATGGAAAATGCCAGTTCTCACCATAAGAAGGTTTATTCAAGCAAAATCATTACAAAACACAACTGACATCATGGTAAATTTGCCTCATTAAAAATGTTTGGACATGTTACAGGTGTCACATATGACCTTTTAATATGATCTCTAGATGCAGCATGCTCTTTCTTTCTTAACATATGTTTATATACCACTTTATCATGTACAGCAATAAAGAATAATAAAACCCCCCCCCCAAAAAAAACAAAAATGCGTAAGAACTGTCAAACACCTAAAAATTAGAAACTACACTTTTTAAAAGGTTGAGGGTGCAGTTCTGTGAGCTGTGCCCTTAATGCTTGTTTGCCCCGAACCTGGAGCCTTACAGGCAGGACAAGGGAAACAGAGGCAATCTCTGCCTCCCTGCATCTCCCACTCTGCATTTCTGCAGAAGTCACAGGGAATGTGATAACCTGGCCTCCGCAATTTCCTGTCCCACCACCCTCTAGAACACCACCTTTACCCCTCACTGAGATCAAGCTTCTCACCTTAAGTCAACACAATTCCTTCTGCACCTGCTCTGAGAGTGAGAAGGAGGAAGTGGGAGAGAGACTGGAGACAGAGCCCTGTTTCCAACCTTAGAGGTTGGAATCCAAAGTATCCAATGCTTCGTGTCGCCAGATGATGTCCAGGGACCACAGAATTGTCCTCTGAATGGAACAGATATGTCTTCATAAAGGCCAAGAGATTAGGAACCAATCAGAAACCTTGCGGGAGCACATGGAGCAACACAAATGCCCTTTCATGAACACCCAGCAAACAACCCACTGTGCAGATCCTGCTATTTAGGAAGCTTCGTAGTTGAGACAGGCAGTCCCTTAGATAACCAGGTCTGATTCTTCTTAGGGCTTTAAAAGTTAATACTAACACCTTGAATCATGCCCAGAAAGCAAATGGCAACCTATGCAGGTCTTTCAGGGCAGGCATAATATAATCTCAATACTGTGCACCAGTCAGCAGCCTAGTCACCACACCGAGTAGCAGCTGAAGCTTCTGAGGGCTAGCCCCTCATACAGCACTTTGCAATATCATATTATATTACTCCAAGGAGCAACATACCATATCAGTCCACATGCCACCATCACCCAGTCATTTTATTCTATGAAACAGGCAGGGTGATGATGCCTGGGGCAAGACATTAAAAATGTTTTAATAAAAAAAAAAAAAGACTATTTTGTGAAATTCATGTCTTAGTGGGATTTGAACTTGAGTTTCTGCAGTCCTAGTCAACTATGCTACACTGGTGACATGTGCTGCATAATGTCCGTAGCTGAAGCTTATCCACTGCCCATGACTGCTGTGCTTTGTGAACTTACCAAATGTCAATTCTGCGTCCTGACAGCCTATCACAGTGGTTTGGTTTTTATGACCATCAGGGCAGTATAGTCAACCTCAGACATGATGACATGAGGTTCTAAATAATAAGTGCTTTCTTAGTTGATCAAAGCAATGCTGGTTGTATAAATTGCTGCAAATAGTGCAGTTTTCATACATAAATCAGGGAAAGTACAATAGCTGAGGCAGTAAATAAATGCAGTGGTTGTTCATTTAGCTGATGAAGTGAGCTATAGGTCGCAAAAACATATGTGAACTCATCTGTGGGTAGGTAATCACATGTGCCTATCACATATGCGGGCCTGAGTCCATGATAAGCAAGATGTTTACCCATGTTATCAATTTTTGTAGCTGTGTTAACCTATTGTAGCAGAGACAAAAAGTCATTTGGTACATTAAATGTTGAAATTGGAGTGGCAACTTTGACAAATATTCTCTACAGGGATGGAATTCTCCCAACAATTCATAGCAGCATTCTCTTCTGAGAAATAGCTCAGTTAATACTGAATTAAATATATTATTTATACTGGTGGATGAAGGAAGCAATAGGTCATGAAGGAAGAAATGGAAAAGGTCGAAGTTGCAGTTGCATTGCATTGCATTGTTTCTCCATTCAATCTGAATATTTTGCCAAATATTTCCAGGGAGGGGATTGAAGTGAAAAAGGAAAATTCTGAGAAATGTTGTCAGAAATGTGTTCAAGAAAGATTGGTCCAATGCCCCTATTCCAGGTTTGCTTAAAGAATTCAGAGATGGATAGTTTGTGGCTATTAGGCATTTTGGCCTTTAACCCCCATCAGCCTTGGTCAGCATAATCAGTGGTGAGAGATGATGGGAATTGTAAGTCAAAATATCTGAAGGGCTGTAAGTTGTCCAACCCTGATATATAGGATTACAGCCTTTGTTTATAATTACCAATAGATACAAAAGTCTGCTTTTGAGTCTCTTTTCTTTCTTTACAGAAACTTTCCTTGATACAGCCACATATAATGATGCCACATAAAGTTGACAGAAGAACATCTGCTAAACCTGTAAGTAACATGAACAGCAATCTGATGCATACTTTTCTTGGGAATAAGTACCATTAAAATCAGAAGTGTCGGAGTGCCTGCTCCGACAATCGGCGCGAGAGAGTTCAGAGAGAGAAATAAAACACTGCAGACGAGAGATAAAGTTTCAAAGCATGCTTGGTTGGTTGTTCGGGAGAACAAAGAAGATCTTCGCAGAAAATTCTACTGCGTCAACACAAGCAGCCCTTTTTATTATTTCACAGATTGATACATTTGTATTTGCCTACACCAATCGCCATCGAGTTAATCAGCCAACTCCCTAATCATTGTGTGCAAGCGCAGGATTCAAAATGCTTACTGATAGCTTATGCGCAGGCGCAGGAAACAGGAAGCGTACTTGTTGCTATATATGGTCACAAGCCTTATATGGTTACACAGGTGAAGTACAATGCTATTAGCTGAGTAAGTTGCAATACTATTGGCTGGTAAATTACAATACTATTGGCTGAGCGTAACGTGCCTAGCTACAGCATGAATGCTGCGAGGCAGGGATGAATTCCCACAAGAAGGATTTACTTCTGAGAAGTCACAGCTAGAGTTGGGCCATAAAGTATCCATCTTACCATTGTGTTAGACCACATATGCATTCATTCTTAGTCAGCCTGGACAGTCTGAAGGGCATGAGTTGGGGAAGGCTTAAGCATACCTTTAGGAATGGCAAAATGCAAAACACTTCAGTGTACTCAAGGCTAGGGATGTGTAAAGCAGGGAAGTCCACTGGAGCTCCATTGGAGCCTGACAAGATTTCATGATACTTTTGTTTCAGTAAGAAATGGCAGATTGTAGTGTCTCCCCCCCCCACCCACCCATCCCCCCTTTTTTTGTGGTTCTGAAATTTTTCACATCTTTGTGCATATTAGATGAATAAATGATTTTTTTTCAGGTCCCATTATTTGCATAAACAGGTTTGTGTTGTTATTATTCAGGTGTACTATTTGATTTTTATTTAATCTGTGTGTCTTTAAAACTGTGTGGATGAGGTCATAGGACAACGATGATGATGTACTTGTCAGAAAACTTGTTGCTTCTATCCCCCACTTTGGACTTACTTTCCTAGTCAACAACTTTGGGGGAAAACAATCAGTCCTTCATAAGTGTGCAGGAGCAAACAGCAGCTGCTAGAAGAGAAGACTGGAAGAAATTGACAGAAACATTGACATCTGCTTGAAGCCTGCTCAAAAGTAAAAGGCTTGAAACAAAACAGTACAAATGTTTTACAGGGACATTGACATTACCTTCAAGTCAGCTTCAATATTCTTGTCAATTTCTTCCTCCTTTATGTCTAGAAGCTGTCATTTGCTCCTGTGTGCATGTGAATTTTCTGCTCTGTGTTACAATTCTGCTTGAAATGCATCCACTTTATCTCCCCCTCTTACTGCTTTGCCATGACATACAGACAGCCAGTGTGGTGAGTGGTTAAGAGCATGGGCCTGGGACTCAGGCGATCTGGGTTCTAGTCCCTGCTCAGCCATTGGGCCAGTCACAGACTCTCAGCCCAACCTACCTCACAGGGTTGTTGTTGTGGGGATAAGATGGAGGAGGAGAAGCTAAGCTGCCTTGAGCCCTTTGTAGGAAAAAGTCAGGATATAAATGAATCAATCAATCAATCAAATATATGTTCAGTGATCTCACTCACTGCTCCGCAACCCATATCTGGATGTGACATCCAGGGAAGTGAGAAGGAAGAAGTGGAGAGAGCCAAATGTAGCTGGTGACTACAGAGGAAGATGTTGGGGGAGTGTGCACCTACCTTCAATTATATGAAAGGGTGTGTGCTTCCAGGGAAAATCCCGAAAGGGAGGGTAAAATGGGCAAGTGGTTTGGCAAGTACAGAATGGGGCTGTGCTGGGCTGAATTCAGCGGTATGTGGAGAAGATGAAACTGGCAAGCACATTGTCAAAGGGAATAGCAGATAGGAAGACTTGCATTAAAAACTATTTCTGCAAATTTAAAACCCATTAAAAACACATACACATTCCACTGTGCAAATTTAAAGATTTTAAAAATTAATTTTAAAAACCTGCAGGCCCTTTGTACATAAATGGCCACTGCTATTTAAAAGCAAACAAACAGACACACAAAATAGCTATGTAGTGGATCAAATCACTATAAATCGAGTCTACAGCAGTGAAACAAAATGAAGCCCACCAAGCCCAAACTGATAAAATCCATCAAGATTTCGATTCAAAAACTGAACTGATATAAATCAAGATATAGGCAATTTGATGCAATATGCATCTATGTTGCTCAGCGAGAAATTTCAGGAATGGGAAAAGTGGAAAAGTTACAAAGCAAGTTAATGGTACAGAATAACAACTGTCCTTCAGTGGAGAATGCTCAACATGTTTACAAAATATTTTAATGGCAGAAAACATCTACGAAAACATTTCTTAGACAGTGTTTGTCATTGTAAGCAAGGCATATTCATTTGAAGGCAAAAATCACTTGGACACAGTTGCTACTGGACACTGTATCATAACATCATTCCCTCTGTTTGTGATCTTCAGGGTAAGAGCACTTTTCATTATGCAATCAAACCAGCAGGACACTCTTACACAAGGGGGAAGTATCCACAGATTTGAGGAAAGCAACCATTTGCATAAGTACAAAAGATCAACAGCAAGGCCTGATTTACAATCCTGACTTGTAAATGGAGCCAAACACCAGCATCTCTAGTTTGGATCACATACTAACCACTTGAATTCTGATTGGTTTGGGAGCTGTGCTAAGAAGTTCAAGCAAAGAGGGAACAAAGAGGCTGCAGGCCCCAGCAAGCAGCTTGTTCAGTGTAAGCCAGAATTCTTTAGGATCCTGGCATATTGTTCCGTGCAAACATGACTACTGTTTCACTGTAGTTTGTAGCAATAGCAGAACCCATGGTCTGTTCTTTCACATTTGAAGAGCAAAAGGTGCTCATCAAGCAGGAATCTCCTCAAATTACTACTCAGCAAAATAAATGATTTGGAAGCTTTAGAGCTTAGGAATATGCCTAGGAACATCAATTGACTCTTAAACACAATAGATATGTGTTTAAGAAAATAATAGTTTATATTCTTTCCTTAATCAAAGCATCAGGCAGATGTATTTCCCTTGTCATGAAAGAATTATAACTAGGCTAAAAAAAATGCCATTTTTTTGTCTTTCCAAAAAAGAATGAAAACATCAGGAAGACAGTGTGCCAGCAGAAAACTTTTCATAAAGATCCATCTCCAGCCTGCAGACATTTGATTAAGAGTAGAACAAATAAAGGACACGTCCAGCACTTGAGCAATCAAAAACAGTCAGTGGCAAAGCAAAAGACTCGCTTTCAGAGGCTGCAGCATCCTTGTCAAGAAGAAACATATTTCTTTTCTGTGCCTGCGGATAGGAAGTATCACAACATGTCAATGGTACAGTATGTTGCAGTGGTGTGAAGAGAATCAATACAGCTCACAATAGCTGGTGTACTTATTGTTCTTACAAGCAGAACAATAATTCTAATTCACATGCTACTTTTTAATACATCATTTTATTCTAGTAAATATGTTGCATAAATGAACTGAGCTACCAAACAGGCAGGGTGAAATTGCTCTCTCTCAGCTTCAGTGTTCCTCTTATGTAAAATAGGTGTGCTTAATTGTTGTTTTTGCTCATGTCAAAACTTCACAGAGTTGTTGGATTGTCTTCAATAACTCACATGTAGATGTGAGTGCATGCATGCATGCATGCGTGCATGCATAAGCATGTGTGATGTCAGCTTCTTGGAATGCAGTAGGTAATGGACTGTATCCCTGTTTAAACACTTTGTCTCTGACACTACTTGGTAGACTTCAGCATTCTGGTAAACAAAAATTATTGTGCAAGTCTGAAGTCTGCCCATCCCAGGGTTAGGCCACTGGCCTCTGTTGTTGTTCAGTCACAAAGTCATGCCTGACTCCTCACAACCCCATGGACAACATTCCTCCAGGTTCTCCTGTCCTCCACCACCCCAGAGTATACCCAAGCCCACACCCACCTCTCCAGTGACCCCATCCAGCCACCTCAACCTCTGCCGTCCCATTCTCCTTTTGCTTTCAATCATTCCCAGCATTAGGGTCTTTTCCAATTAGTCCTTCCTTTTCATTAGGTGGCCAGAGTATTTGACCTTCAGCTTTAGTACCTGACCTTCTAAAGAACATTCAGGGCCTCTGTTCAGTTCAGACAAAAGAGAATGCAAGTCCTAGGCTGAGGGTGTCTTGACCTGCTGAGTTTGTTCATACCGTGATGACAGCAACTATCTGGTATGCTTGAAGGGGCATCACATGGTTCAACACTGCAGCTAGAACTGTCTCGCCTTTTGGTGCCATGCTTTTTCAATTGGCTCAGGTCACACATTCTGCATGTGTGCATCCACTCATATTTTTGTGCTGTTGCAATCAGATCCTTCCCCTCACACTTGCAAAATATTTAGCAAATACTACCTACATGCATTGTATTTATTTAATTATTGTGTTCACAGTCATGAGTATCAGAAACGTAGGAGATGATCCTAACAGAGATTAGCATTTTGAAGTTCCATGGACTTCATGGATATCCTAAAATGTACTTAACACCTCACTGATATCAGTGGAACAGGATGTAAAAAGTGGACCTTGCTTTTACCTCCTCTTGTTTGAAGATAAGTGTTGCTGTTCCTTGGGACAAGCTGTGTAATTCATACCCCTGATCTTGTTCCACCCTCGAGTGTGCAATTGCAGCCCTGCAGCTAAATCTGTTTTGTGACAATAGGCAAATATACCTTGTCATAATTGTTGTTGTCAATGTTGAAGCTGCCTCACTACTTAAATTAATTAACTTATCCTTCATTTAAGTGCCAAATACAATGTTATTACTGCTGATGAATTATCATGAATTATGCCAATTAGTCCAATTTTAATGCAGGTGCCACCTTTCAAAAGGCAAGATGAACAGTCACATCATGAAGAACTTGTGGTCATCAAAACTGAAAGAGAGCCAGAGCCAGAAACTGTTTGTGTAAGATCCTATTTGCAATGTTCTTGTGCAAAATAGCCTGCCCATAGCAAGCTCTGCAGGGTCAGCTTATACATGATGGAGGAGGTTCCATGCGCTTGAACCTGGAGCTGCTGCAGCCACATTGGAAAAGCATGGAGAAGATGCGATTATAAAAGCAAAAACAATTTATTGGAAAGGTAGAATCAGTGTTGAACCCTTCTTCTGCCATGGCTTCCTTCTCTCAGTTTGGCTCTGATTCTGTGGTTGCTTGGCTGGTGGAAAGTACGAGCTGCGCATGCACAGCAGGAAGAGGGCTGCATGCTCCTTCCACCAATCCCCTTTAAGACTTCCACCCACCACAACAAGAATGAGGCAGTTCCAGGGTTAAACAAACATATCTGTACTTTCAGGGTGAGTTCCAGTCCCTCACAAAAAAGTCCTTCCTTATAAGCCTCAGAATTCTCCTACTCATAAAAACAACTCATGTTGGCTGATAAACAGAATCTTGGCATCCATAATCACCTGTTGGGTTTTGTATTTGCACAGAACTTCAGACTGATCTGACAGAAATTGCCACAGCATTGGAAAGAGCATTAGAAAGTGTTGAAGATCAACATGTATGTATTATTTACTACAAACTGTAGCTTGTATATAATATAATTCCATAAATCTGTAGAAAACCACTGATGAACTATATTCAGAGTTTCCAAGGAGGTGTGCCTTTCATTGGTTTGATGAAATTAAGATCAGCTTTTTAAAAGTTACTAAGATTTTTCTGTCCCATGAAAACCTATGGCAACAACTACTGGCAAAGTTACATTGGGCATATTCAGTACCACTCTGAAGCTCAAATGCTGTCAGTACTCCACCATTTTGAGAGAAGATCTGGCATCTCTGTCCGGGTTTGGACAGCGTCAGGGAAGTATAGCAGGATTGAGGTAATTTAGTTGACTAAGAAGGTTGAGGGGAACACCTCACTGATTGACAGATCACTGATGAAGACAGGGGGGAAAAGGCTGTGCTAGAATCCTGTGCAGGCTTACTCAGAAGTAAGCTTCTGAAGATACTAAAATATAGTCATCCATTTGTATAGATCTACTCAGTTAATGACATTAACATTTAGTTTGAGGTTTTGGTTTTTGGGAGGTTCTTCTGTTTTGTTCTGTTCTGTTCTGAACACTGTAATAACATATTTGCATTTTCCAAACCAAGGAAATGCAATAATTTAACAATTATCCTGCCCAGTTTAAGAACTGAGAACCTTGGCGCATGTTCCACAAAGTTAGGAAACTGGAGGTTAAGGCTGATACTTTAAATGATGGTCCAGTGCCTTCTGTGATGTTGTACAATCTCACAAATCATGCTTGCTTACAAGCAACAAGCAAGCGTGGGTTAACTCCTAGGAGATTTCCTGTAGCAATGCAGTAAGGTTCACTTTGTGGGACAATACAGAACCAGGATGATGTGGGGCACCTTTGCAGGTCCCAAGCATTGCATTCTTCCCAGCTGGATTTGAGCCTGAGACCAAAGAAATGTGCAAAGTAAGTTGTAAGCAAGCACATTTGTGGCTTTGCACAAAATCATCACAAGCCGTGGGGACATCTGTTTAGGCATCCAATTTATCCTCCAGTTTCCTGGCTACCACCATGGAATAACCTTAACTCCGGCCTTACATTGACAGATTTTGGTGTGGAGGAGGGTAATCATTGAATATATGATTTGAATCTAATAAGTATTGAAATGCACAGGCAATATTTTTTGGGCAATAGTGTGGTTCTAAAAAGCATGTCCTGTACAACTGACAGGGGTATATCAGAGACAAAGCATGTGTGCCTGCCTATATAATACCCTGGCACCAAAAGCAATTTTCATTGCAGAAAATGTAGCATCGATGGGGATTAAATTACTTTAAGTCCCTAATACTCAGCTGGCTGCTTTCAGCACTCTAACCCTCTGCTTTGAGATACTCCTTGCCTTAATTACTTGTGGCTCATGTGCTCAGCTGTTCTGTTTGTCTGAAAATGTATTTGGCTTCTAATGAAGAAAAAAGTCTATAAACTCTATTATGTAGGTACAATTAGCACATATTTAAAGGAGTTCACTATTCTAATTGCATTCCTGCCACTTCCTGTAAATAGCAGGTGGCCTGTCCAAAGCAAAACAAAATGTCAGACTACACTTAACATGTGTCAGATCTTACCTCTTACAATTATGCTGGGAAGTGGTGATAGCTAGTAGCATGATGAGAAAAATAGGAAAGTGTAGGAAATGGCTTCCAAAGAGTACTGCAAAACAAACATCTTAGAATCACTTAAGATTAATTTAAGCCACTAAGGGCTGTCTAAGGGGAAATAAGAGATTCAGATCAGTTTTGCTGGAGTCCCCAAGGAGACAATTTGAAATGTAAATGTGGTGGAAAATCTTTTCTGTACATAATATAACCGAGGAACTCTTTCCTGATGTTTAAGTGAAGAGCTCCCCCTACAAGAATAAGTATTAATTGATCAATCTCAAATTAGAATAAGGTGTCAAAAGGCATCACTCATGGGTAATCCATCTCTGCATATTTATTAATGACTTTGAAGGTCAAGTAATAGAAAAAAAAGGGTCTTACCCAAAAAAAAAAAAAAAAAAACAGTACTTAATACTATGACACTGCAAGTGTTTTCATTCCCAGACATGTGCAGGAATACACAACTGCTGGGCAAGCCTCAGTTCCTCTGGGAAATGCTGATTCCAAGAGAAGTTCCAGAAATTTCTTGGTGGGAAGATGTGCAAGTTCAGAGCTAAAATAGCTAAGAAGAATGTAGCAGAAATAACAACACGGTTTTTAAAGTGTGCAAATAGCCAAAGCATGGTATTGTGCAGTTTTTCTCTATGATTAGCATGCATGAGAGAGATAAAATCAGCTGTTTGGACAGAGATCAAGATCAAGGATATACTAAAATAGGGGTGTTGAATTGTACCCTAATTTAGTAGGGGTGGGTCAAATTCAGCCCACCTGGAGTTCCAAGCCCAGGTCTCAAGATTCCCCAGATAGCCATGCCTCATCCCCTGGCCCAATTTCTCTCTCCCTCTCTTTCTTTAACCAAATCTTTTTGTGAAATGCCTCTCCTAAGGCTTAGTTGCTGGCTGCAAGACCTTTACGCTACCAGAAGCCAGAGTCTTTCCTATATTTATTTTAGTCCTATCATTTCTGCCTTTGTCTCATCACTACCCGAATGTAGTCCTCAAGCCTTGGCAGCTTCAAGGCACTGAATTTAGCCCTTGAGCTGAAAGAGATCCATTACTTCTGTGCTAAACTATAATTTGGCACAAAGTACACATGCCAGAATGAGCCACTGTAAGGTTTGGGCTCACAGGCCCCACTTTCTCCTGCATTACTTTGGGGATGAGCTTTTGCTTGACCTTAGTTTCTTGTGTGGTAAAGGCTGACAGACTATGGTTAACTTTAGCTACCAAGGTGCCTTGTTTAAACTAACCATTGTTCTGGCTCTAAACAACAAAGGAATCCCTGGTTTATCAAAACCAGAAATGAAGCTTCCATATACTTTTTCCCAACCATGTGGAAGAGGATTCACTTTGGTTGGTTTGTTGGTTTTAATTTTACATGTTAAAGTAAATTATGGCTTAGCACAGGAGTGGGCAACTTGTGGCCTTCCAGATAGAGAGAGAAAGGGAGGCAGGTAGATTTACCTAAGGTTTGCACCATCCACAGCCATATAGCCAATGATGACAGATTTGGGGGAACTGTAGGCCAACAGACTTGGAGGGCCACAAACTGCTTGCCTCTACTTTAGCATGTCTTGCAAATGCAGTCAGAGAGAGTGTGTGTGTAATGGAAAGGCACTTGAAAGTTAATTGAATGCTCAGAGCATCTTGGAGTTCAAGGTACCCCCCTTAAAGATCTGTTGTGAGGTTGCAAATCTTCTGCATGATAAGCTTTGCATGCCTCCCCCCACCTATGCCCAATTTGTATATGTGTAACTAAACCACTCAATAAAAAATGCCATAAAGGAAACCAAGCCAAATTAGTGTTGACTCTGGAACAGCTGACTGTTTTCTCTGCCTAATATATTCTTAAAGAAGCCTGCCTTTGATAGCACAGCACTGTGGCATGTGGTACAGGAAAATGGGTAACAGTGGACCAGATTACTAAAAGTCAAACTTCCAAGCTAAAACTGGAAATCTAATGGAATTCTCAAGCTCAAGGCCCTATGCACTGCTAATTTTTAATGCTCTTTATCATCCAAATGTCACATTGCAGATTATAATATCTGACAGTGAAGATGAAGATTTGCCAAAGTATGAAGAATGCAACTTTCTTTCTTTCAAGAACAAAGGTAAAATTGCTTTTTTGGGGAGGTCAATGGTATATTTGTTCATCATACGTATTGATCAAAACCTGTATCTCTACTCCCTTCTGACTTAGAATGGAAATTAAAAACAGAGCTATGCCTGAGGATTTCCCCACCCTCACTTCTCTAAAAAAAAAAATCCTATTTTTTAGTTCACTCTTCATGTATGTTCTTCTGTTCAAGTAGAAAGTAACAAGCATTACAAGTCTATCAAGGTCATGCAAGGTGAGGCAATTAGAGGCACTCTGCCTTGCAAGAATTAATTGCAGAGGGGATAGAAGTCCAGAGGTGCATGATTTGCATTTCATGTATGTGCTACCTATAGGAAATAACAGTGCTAATAATAAACCATTGATGCTATATAATCACTTGCCAGATAGGGCTGCACATGCAGGACTGAAAGCTGCTATCACTGCACGGTAATAAAGAGAGAGAATGGCACGTGCTTGGCAGGCGGAGAGCCTCTTCTGTGTGGCACGCGGCTTTGTGAAAGTCACTTGATATCCTGTGCAGACTGAAAAGCCATCAGGCACGTTCACGCATTATTCCACCAGGGGTTGTTTGCTCACTCATTGATCAAGTGAATGACCGTGTGCTCTGCAGCTTTCTGTGGCTTATTCCCCATCCCCAGTGCTCCAGCCAGCTCCCTGGATGCACCTTCATTTCCTCAGTCCCTCCATCAGCACCATTTCTGCAATTGAACCACTGGGGGGGGGGGTCAGCTGTTCCGGAGAATTCTCCCAACCCAACCATCAGATCACCACAGCAAATTGATTGTCTGATCTCCTCTGAATGCAGTGACACATCTGCACACTTTAAAAAAATTAACCTTTTTGCACAAGTGTGGAAGAATGCCTGCCTGCTTCTTAGCCCTGTATACCAATTTCTCCATCTTTTTAATGGCCTTGTCCTTTACATCTTCCACCTCAGGAATTTTCTTGCTAGCAAATGCCTTAAAGGGGAAAGGGGTGTTTCATATATTACCAATTACACCCACCTGAAAAGTTCCTTCCCATGCAGCTGCCTGTCATTATTACCCCACCCACACCTCCCACTGGTCTCTGTTATTAGGTCTCACATATACATATGGGTTACTATGCAAATTTCAAGGCAGAGCAGTAAAGCAGATGAAAGTGTACCAGTGTCATAGCCCTGGGCTCTCAAATGTGCACACTTGGCCAAGACTTTTAAAATTTATTTCCAATTTTTAGGAACATGGGATGGGGGTGCTGAGAAGGGATCAGGGAAGATGACAGCATGCTAGTGAGATCAAAAGGTAGGGCAGGTGTTGTTGTTGCTTCTGTTGCGCAGCTCTCTAGGTGTTCCTGACAACTATGATGAAGTTACTTCTTCAAGTTTGGCTGTCACAACAAGCCATCATAAAAGCAGACCATTCTGAACAGTCCAGCAACAAACCATGGATAGTCAGGGTAGCTTGTTTGTGAAAAATAAGTCACCGCTGGAAACTGCACCAGATTCACATGCCACAACAGGCAACCACAGGTGATCACCCTTGGTGGGTTGTCATGTCATGTCATGCAAACCAAGCCACAGGTTTGTGCCTACATGGGCCACTAAAGAGCACTGAAATGCGGCAAGGATGCATCAATTTCCCCTTCTCATTTAGAGTGCACATTTATGAATGAGTACATGCCGAATTCACATTCATAAATGTAAATTCATGAACCACAATATAGTTAAACATAAAAATCTGAACTTAAAAGTTTGTAATGTCATTCATGCATGATGAGGTTTACATTTGAATAGATGTGCACAAAGATGTGGACATTTGTAAAGACATGCATAAAGTGCTTTATTGCATGGAATGACTGCAAGCAAAAGGATAGATTTGAAAAAAATGTGTACATTTGAAAAAGAAATGTGTAGAAAGTAGTACCCAAAAATAAGTATGAACTTTCATGCAGACTGAAGGAGGAAATCTTTGACATTACAATGGAGACTCGGTGCAAAATAAACTTACCAGCAGAAGCATAGCTGGAACAGATTTTACAGCGCCTTATATCCTTATTAGTTATGAACAAACTCTGAGGAATTCTTGTTCCATTAACAATGAGTCAATCCACACAGCAGCCTCTCTCACACTTCCTTTGGGAAGCTCAAAGTAGCTTTCATTAAGCTTTCTCCCATTGATTCCTCCTCATCTGATTAAAGTCTGGCTGATAACTTCATATGTTATTTTTTCTTTAATGTTTCAACCACATGAAGAAAAACAGGAACAGTGTGATAAAACTAGCAACAGTCTTCTCGGCCAAACAAATTGTGCAAATTTAGCGAAAAAGGATTTGCCACCAACAGGCTCAGGAGGGTAAGCATACCAGAATACTCAGCTGGTGATACCTTCAGCTCTATTGCATTTACCAGGTATATAACAGGGGTGATAAACTTACAACCTTGCAGAAGTTTTGACCTAAAACTTTCATTGTGCCTTAGCTATGCAGTGTAGGTATAACAGGGATTGTAGGGCAAATTAATTGGAAAGACACAAGTTGCCCACCCTTGGTATAAAATGTCACAAAACATTTTAATGGCAAGGAGAGAAAAGTGAACAAAACAATAACCTGGATTCCTCTGGATAAGGGACAAAAATGCCTAGAACTCTAATCATTCAAGTAGAATGACCCACATCAGTGAGGCAGTTTGCTCTAGACTGTACAAAACAATCTAGAGTTACAAAGCATAGCAAACAATCACACAGAAGAAAAGGTTGATTTAAGAGGGATAAGAATTAGATGTGTCAGTTGCAGTCTCCATTTCATCCTTGTTTGGAGCAAGCTGATAAAAGACCTGATGGCTTTCTTGTACCGGTATGGGTCAGGTTATTTGTCCCTCTAGTTCAGAACTGCCTACTCAGAACAGCTGCAATTTCCCAGAGGTATTTACCATCTCATGCTACCTAATCGCTTTACCTTGCGATTGCATGTCAGGGGTTGAACTCTGTGTGAAAAGCACTCAGCTATGCTGCCCTCCCTGTTGTTTTCTGGGTATCATAACAACACTGGTCCTTGTGTTGTCTTGTTCAAGTGACTCCACCATGACTTCAAAAGAAGAAACTAAAGCACAAGTCCCTGTTGTCGTGCAGTACTCAGATGCTGCTGTTTCACAGAAGCAAGAGATTTCCCAGAGCATTCCTGAAACCAAAATGATAGAAACATTAACATCTCACATCAAGTAAGTGCTTCTAAAGACACAGTCATGCAGCAAAGTGTGCTCTGTGTGTGTCCGCGTATTCTAACAAGGACATTTTCAAGGCCCAATTTCATGCTAAATATGAATCGAGGTGGCAGTTGAGTGATAGACTCCTTGGACTGTGAAATATTTAATGACTTATATATACTGTGTAGAATCAACATTGAAATGGTCTTTTGTGAAGTTCTCCTGGGGCCAGTTTCAGTCCAGGAAAAGCATAGTAGGCAAGAGCTACAATTTTTATGGATTTTTTTATAAAAAGGTTTTTTACTACCTCCATTAGTGCTTTTGGCATTAATTTGCTGGCACCGCTAGTTTCATCAAGAAAAAGGTATTTTCAGATTCAATTAGCCAAAAGAATCCTTTCAGTTTAACACATTTCATTAAAGATTTTTCACGTTCACCAAGACACAGTATGATTGCATGCACACAGATGCTTGTAAACCTTCAAACTCAGGTACTTTTGAGCATCCCGTGCAAGGGGCGAGACTTGGCCTGTATATTACCTAGATCAACATTTTAACCCCTCTAGATTAAGCAACCAGAAAAGGGAAGGAAGGAAAACTGGGCACTGACTGGGAGCTACAAGTCTATAGCTCTGGCCCTGGAGCTAAGCCCCAAATCTCTCTGTCACTGGACTAGGCACATAAGGTCCATGCAACTTCCACAGGATAAAATGGCAAACTAACTACCGTTTTAATCTAAAGGATAAATGCAATCATATTACAGTGCTACCAGCTTATAGGAAATACTGAAGCTTAGTTGTCCTACAATAGCAGTTTCCTGCTATTTAAATGCAGAAATCCACTCATAATTTGAAACCCCAAGTCTAAGAGAAGGAAAACAGACAATAACTGGGTGTGCACAGTATGTCAAACCACCATGGGTGACAAGCCACAGTGGGTTGTCATGTCATACAAATTCATACTGCTTCCCACAGCCTGATAACCCATGGTGGCTTGCCATGTAATCTGAACTCACATGACTGGTCCCATCTTGCATACCATGTACCTGCCAAGGAGCTGCTTCTCAAGAGCTGTATAAAACCCTTGCAAAGTTCAATGGCTAGCAAACTATTGAAAGAAAGAAAGAATTAAACACACAATGTGTGCAAATAGTTTCATTGTGTTAAAGTTAGTTTCCCTTGCACAACTACACAGGTGCACAGTTCCATGAATGTAAATGGAGTCTCGGTTGCACAATATCATACAAGGTAGCTGCTATCATAGTGTGGCTGGTACAAATCTTGGATAGTGACCCAAAGAAGTTCCAAATACGTTTTTTACTTCATTTCCTCTTGACATCTGTTGAAAGGAGAACTAGCAAAGAAAACAAAGGTATAAGGGATCATTGCTCATGGAAAGGGTAATGAGATTTACACCCCCCTCTCAATAAAGTTTGTTGCTATTGTTTGGTGCTGAAAGTTCTCAACAACATGTTTGGGAATTTTCCTTGCATTTTTAGTTGGTAGGAAAAGTGCATCACACTCCCTTTTTCTGAGGAAAAGGATTTTTTACAGTAAGCCAACTGTCAAGACTACAGGCTTCCTTTCAATGGAGGGTTAACAGAGCAAAGGGTGTTTTTTGTCAGGATCATATGAGATAGTTTATTTTGTCAGAGGACAAGAGAAACAACCCATGACCCAAAGACATATCTGGCATTGTTTGTGCAACAACCAACTCACTGTGGGTTATCGTCAAGGTGGGTTGTCATGATGTGTGAACTCCCCCTGTATTTGTCAAACTGCTCCTGAAGGCCAATTGTCAAAATGTGAAGTTCTATAAATAAGCCATTTCTTACTCCTTACCCTAACCCTATCCTCATAAAAAGTTCTTCTGAAATGCCAAGTTTTAGGTCAATTCTCTGGGCTTTTTTATACTCTGTAAAACCTACTGCCCCATGTCCCCAATTTCTGGTTATAATTGCAGGATGCAATTCATATGATTCACCTTTTAGATAGGGCCACAGCTGTGCCCTCTAATATTGAACTGATATTACGAGCAATCTGGTTAGCTAATCCAGCTGTTTGAAAGTATGCATTTCTACTTCTACGTTAAATGACACATGATGTTAAGCACAAGGTGTTAAAACTTCTCTTCCATAACAAAAAAGTGTTTTCCATGGAGTGGGGAGATGAACCCTGAAGCTGCTATTTGCTATTGGTCCCTGGAGATTGTTTTCAGATAATTGCTATTTTCAGGACAAATACCAACCTCAGAAAGCATTCGTGTTGTAAATAAGTCCATTTAGTGAGCATGGGTTTTAAAAACTGAAGTTCTGATCTGTTGCTTCGGCATAATGAGTCATAGGAGTAGATCCTACAACTGCAAGTCTGTGAACCTGTCTGGGAACAAGTTCTGTGCGACTTAGGTTGCTTTGCATAGGTCAGATCCTAAAAGCACATCCTTGGCTGTATATCACACTGATTTTCAGCAGTTTTGTGGCACATTCAAGACTAACTCTTTTAGGGTGTAAACCTATGCATGCTTAAACTTTTTAAAATGCCTATAATTCAAGCATGGGTGACTCAGATAGAACTGCACACCTATTAGAGCATAATATTATTAGGGTGATGCTATTATGGTGCCCTTATTAGGACATAGAACCAGTGTAATATAGTAGTGAGAGTCTTAGGCTGGATGACTTTCAACCTAACCTACTTGACAGGATTGTTGTAAGAATTAAAAGGAGAGGAGGATAATTATGGAGGCCACATTTTCCTCCTCACAACAGGCAAAAGGGCTGGATATCAGTTCATTAATAAAATAAGCTTTTGAGGATGAATCTATGAAAACTTGCGTTATCTGTATTAAGCTTTCTTGTGTTTAGCTTGTATCAAATGTTCCAAGGAGTGAATTCCATTCTATTCATAGGATACTCCCAACAGCAGGTGGGCAGGGGATTTTCTCTGACTCTCTCTTCCCCTTTGGCCCCTTTGTGTCTTCTAAAAATCTGCTCTGTATGCTGGATGCAGCCTCTGAACTGTTCAGGTCATGGCATGGAGAAGAATCTGCCTTGCTACATGCCTTGGTTATCTTTTCACAGAGAGATGCTGGTGCATTTTTTACCTGAATGTAAACTTTCCAGAGAACACCTTATAGCCATGGGCCCTGAAAATATTTTAACTATGTTCAAAGTAAGTGGACATCAAAATGAAATCAGTATTAATGCATGTTTATGTGCCTATTAATTTATATTTAGTTAATACCAGACAACAACACTTAATATTGAACAAGAAGTAGTGCTATTTATTAGCTGTCTGTCTCTGACTGTGTTTGTTTACTAGAATTATACAATTTACCATATTTAAAAATATCTCTAAGTAGTTTGCGAGATAATTTCATGTATTAAATTCATGTTAATATACATTAAGATATTAAATAGCTAATTGCTAAATATTTATATAAAACAATTGAACACCAAATTTAACAAATGTCTGTGTTGGTAGTAATAACAGATAAGGGTTGCAATTCTCATTGGCCTGCTTCAGGTGATTCCCTCTGTGTTTTTATTGTCTATACAATTTGGAATTAATACAAAATATTGATATTCTTAATATAACTTTGGCATTAGTATGTCAGGGCTGAGAAAAAGCAGGCACACTGAGGATGTACAATTAAAAGAAATTAAAGAGTATTTGGTCATCAAGGGTACATGCATGTAGGTAATCTGTGAGAGCTACAAAGAGAGGCTACGCAAGGAGAGGAAGACAGAGAAGGGATGCTTCTCAATCAGGTAGACAGCTGTAGGAGTCATGTACTGAACAAAACTCTTGTTGAACTGATCAAGGCAAAAGAGAAAGAGAAAAAGGGATTCAGGGCAGACAGAGATTAACATATGTAAAGCTGGCATAAGACTGGCAAAGTTGTTTCCTGATCTGATCAGGCTGCTTATCTTGTCAGTTTTGGGCTGTTTTTGCCAATTTCAGTCTTTTTGTGTCAATCATGGCAGAGCTTTAGCAAATAATCAAAGAAGCCTGCCCTGTTCCTTTCTGTAAAAAAGAAATCTCTGCCAATACAAACAAAATTAATATTCCATTATTTATTTGTTTATTGAATTTGAGAGCCACCCATTTCCTACCTTTCTTCCCAGAATCTCTCAGATTGACATTCTTAGTCCTTTGCTTTTAGCCTTGCAAAGTCCCTGTGAGTTAGGTAAGGCTAAAACCTAGTGACTATCCAAGATTACCAAATGGGTTTCATGTCTAAGTGGCAATTTTTATTCAGGTCTCCCTAATACTGCGCTGACTATCAACTGTCCAATGCTGGCTTGCCATCTTGTACCAAGAAGTTACCTGCTGAAACTTGTGTGATTGTTTGTGGGGGCGGTAGGGACAGGGGGGAAGATTGAGAGAGCAATGTTTTGTTTTGCACAATTTATTCTGGTATTTCTAGTTATGGGATAAGTTAAGCTAAGGAGGTAGATAATTCACTGTTCTAATTTATTTCAATACAATTTTAACTGTTTGTAACCCTCTCTGGAAAACTGTTGAAGGATAGGGTATGCAAGAAACAGTCTGTATTTTGGCACCTGCCTGACAGTAAGAAATCCATGTTACCCGCTCTACCCACATAGTCTCAAATCTGTTGTTAGAGCCCTAAAATTTAGAATCATGATTTCATAATTACAGCTGATGTTCTTAGGTTTCTGAATTTGGGGCATGATGTCAAATCTTGCTTTCGCACTTAATCTTAAACTACCCAAACACTGTCCTGATTTTTACATCTCAGTTCACTGTCTGCATAGGTTGAGGGAGGGAAGGGCAAATTACAAACACAGATCTATAATTCACATATCTGAATCAGAAGCATGGAATGGCACTAATGGTTAAGCCCTCAGTGGATTGGGTCCACTGTCCTGGAAATGGAAACCCTGTGAAAAACAACCCTTCACTCCAAGGCAAAACTATTCATGTGTAGTTTGGCCCTGACTGTACAAGGTTTTCACACCTCATGCCATTTGCTAAGACTATGCATTTTGCTTCATTTATAAATGCAGCTCAAAGGGAATTCTGAGCAGAAGGAGACTGACACTCTGTACATCGATCAGGTAAAAGTATTTATTATGGCTAGTAGTATATGAACTGAACTCCCATCAGATCAATACCATAGATGAAGAAATAAAGGCTCAGTCCCAGGACAAACACATTTAGCACAAGAACCTCAGGCCCAGGGCAAAATCTGGCCCTCCAGGAAGTCCAGTGCAGCCCTCCAAGTTTCCCAGCCCTTTTTTCATGTCTCACACCCTTTCCCCTAATCACCAATCTTTGGTAGTTTGCCATCTTTTGTACAATATTTTCCCCATTCTGAGGTGGGAATGCCTCTCCTGAGGTTTATTACTAGCTGCAAGTGCTCTAAGATGCACTAGACTAGCATTTGGGGTGTTTTGACTCCACCCCTTTTGCCTTCAGTCCCACCTATCACTGCAAGTGACACCTTACCCCACTCCTGATGATGCTTCTGAAAGAGGCCTCACATCCTTGGTTTAGTAAGTGAGCAGACAGGCAAACAGTCAAGCACAGTTTGTATCAGCCCTTCAAGAAGACAATTCAGAGCAGGAGATATCTGGCTGGCAAAGGTCAAGAGCTCCCTATTATCAGTCAGAAAAGGACAAGTTCAGAGCAGGGCATGAGGCATAATCAAGGCCAAAATATAGATAAGCTGTCTGACACAAATGCAGATCAAAAACAGAGTCTAACAGGAGCTCAAAGTCTGCAGTGAGAGACTGGTGCAAACAAGAGGTAGACAAACACTGTGTAAACCCAGACTTCATTGCTAAAGAAAGAGATGCTACACTGAAGGGGCTTCAATCCAAATCAGGACCATGGTACATGTGGAGAAGTCCAACATGACATATGGTTGTCCTACTGTCCTCTTCCCACACCTGCGATCCTGGTGTACTGTTTTCTCACCAAAAATAAGCCTTCTCCTAGCCTGTTATACACAACCGGCTGTTTGGTGATGCCAAGGATGTATCTAGTGAAAGCTGATCTGTGTCGTCTTCCAGTGGGCTTTGCTATCCTGCAATAAAATGAACCTGTGTCAAGAATACAACTGTTCCATAACTTCAACCAGATAACCAAGTTCAAACATGATAACACACACTCAAGGACAAAGTTTTGGTTAAGTGTGGATTGTCATTGAAGATGAATTGTTGCTGAAATGAAGCTGGTTGTGTTGTCTGAACTCAGCCGAGATAACAAACAGTGGCAAACAAACCGCAGTTCACAACCCAATAACAAATCATGTGTTCTCTACATGCTTGTACTCTGTTAAGCCATTTCTTAGCACAGTAGATTCAGACAGCACAATAACATACATTTCAACAACAGCTTATGGCTCAGTAATAACCCACGATGAACCCTTGAGTTCAGATGTTCGTGTTGTGTCAGCCCAGTCATTGTTAGCTTTTCTCAGGGACAGTCCAACCATTAGAGTGGGGCAGTTGCCACAGGGTCCTGGCAATGGGTGCAAAATGTCAGAGAATACACCTGTGTGCATCATCGCCCGCCCCGCAAGCCTGCTGTCATGTGGATGGAGAATGTTGTCCCCTCACCATTGTGAAAGTGAGAGTTGGCTTCTGTACATGGAATGAGCAGAAGGTAGAACGCATCTTGTCCTTCAAATTGGGCAGTACAATGTCTTTAGCCTGCCATGGCTTTTCTGTAAGTTATACTTTCACCATTATTCTGCTATGGAAAATGTTAGCAATTTGTCTGTAGAAGGTGAGCAACTCTATAAAAAACACCATGACACTGTTTGATTTTTTTTTATTAGAGGCACAAATTGAATAGAAGCAGGTAAAAAGTTATTAAAAGTCTGCATCATATTTCAAAATTACAAATATATGTTTCAGTATATTTCACAATATGAAGGACAACTTTCAAAACAACTCCAGTCTATAAACATCATAGCCTTCAAACTGTGCATGCCATTGAAACAGAGATTACTGTGTGTGAAATACAAATAAAAGCCACACAGGAAAGACCTGCGCATCTTCGAGGAAAAATAGCACAACTGCTGTTGAAAATTCATCCAGTAAGTGCTTCTATCTTACTCTAATATCAAATGCAATTAAATAGCTCCCACAACTTTTATATTTGGAAAAAGAAAATATATTCCTTCTCACTTATATTAGTTCTTAGTACAGAAGATGCAAAAGAGTTCATTTTAATATTTCTTATAGGCTGCCATGGATTAATCTAGCAAGTGAGGTTTAATTTTAATGAGTGAGACTAAACATTTGTTTCAACATGTTTTCAGTTCTGTGTGCACTGCAGTGATGGAGAGTAAATAACAAATGTTAAAGATAGCTTTGTCTTCTAACAATGAATGCTAAATTTTGCTTGTTCAATTGTAATTTATACCATATTTCTTTGAAATCCTAAACAGGAAAGAAATATTGCAATACATGCAAATACATTTAAATGAGAGTTTAAATAATTATCAGTTCACACTCAAATGACTAAACTACTAAAAAAAATCAATGGAAGACAACTTGAAGACAATTTCCAGCTTGGTTTATACATTTGTTCACATTCCAAACATCCTATACCATTTTCTTTTTTATCTTTGATACTCTTAGACTGACAAGGTGATCTCTCTGCCGTGCTCAGGGTACATTCAGATCAGATGACTTCCAGTCCACTATTCTCCCTTATGAAGTTTCATTATCTTTAAACTGGGCATAGACTGGATAACCCTTCCAATAGAGGACACATCCAAAATAAAGTGCAGTTGTAGATAACCCTTCAAACAGAGGACTGTCCTGTATAAACAACAACACATAGCCACTCTAAATACACCAGCAGTTGTTAAGGCCGTTGAACACCATGCTGATATGCTTGGTGATAAATTATGCCTCTCCTGCCCCGCCCCCCAAAGGATGAATGGATGGATGAACAAGTCTTATATGAGAAGAATAATCATTTTAGTTTTTCCTTTCTCCTTAAGCTGTGGCCCTTCTTTTGCATTTCCAAAAAAGTAAATGGCAAGGGTTATTTTCTATCTGATTAAACCTACTTGCTTCTCTAAGTTTCCTTTTCCTTTCCCTATCCCTTCAGTCATCCCTAGCTGCCAGAAACACCAAGAACTTTATGAGGTTCTTCCTCAGAAGTAGCCAAGCTGTAGTACTCAAGCTGCTTATCCTGGAGTAAGGCTCCTTAAGCCAGTGTTGTTATACCACAAGTTATCAATCAGAAGGGGAGGGGGTGACAGCCACATTACTAACTCTACCATGCTTTTCCTCACATCTTTCGCTGTCTACGTAAGCGATAGCACTAACTCTCTTAGCACTAACTATTCTTTCCCTAATCCCACTTTAACTTCTTGCCCTGTGTATTTACCTCCATTTTCTCTTAATGAGAGATTGAATGTTTCCACATTTACAGAATGATACAAACATGTGTGATGTAAAGGCTTGTAAACTGTAAGCTGGTGGGCCTGTCAGAAGAGAAAAAGGTGACATTCTTAATAAAGAGTTGGCTGGGGAAAGGCATTTAACATTGTACCCAGCTGCCATTTCCCTTCCTGATAGAGGATTCCCCCATGGCATCTCCTGTTCTAGCATAACTGCTGGGATACCATTACATAAGATTGCCTGGGATGTACAGCTTGGGCCTAAGGAACTAACTGGTGGCTTTCTCTGGTTAACTCTCCCTTGGACCTACTAAAAGCACAATATCCTGCATGTTTAGACAGGCTAGCTAGGGCATGCTAGAATTTGTGAACCTATTTTCTGTCTAAACATGCACAGGATTACACCCATAATTTTATGGTTTGGTATTAATACCTAAATCCTGCTTTTTTGTGTCAGCATCTTCTTATAAATAACCTGGAAGACATTGATAGTTTCCTAGAAGAGAGCCTGAAATGCAAAAATCAAATTATATTTGGGCCTGCAAATTCCAGCACCTCAGAAATAGGAGAATCAACCTTTCTGGATTAAGAAATAAGAAAACAGTTTAACACTTCGTAGAGTGTCTTTGGATAGTTGGATAATAGAATCCATCCAGAGTTATCCTGCATAAATCTTATATGTTCCACTGGAATTAATAAGGGAAAGCACTCCCAAATATGTTTTTGTAATGAGTGTTTTTTACCAATACATGCTTTAGTGACAGATGAACCAATCCTGTATTTGCTGCTGTGTACAACATCCCCTTCGTCTTATTTGAATGTTCCACCAAAGCCACACTGAAATACATGGATGTGTTTCAGCAAAAAGTGGGTGTTGAAATGGTCTATGTGTTCTTGTGAGTATTTTTTTATAGAAGTACTGAAACATTTAAATTGAAGCTTTCAAAAGCAAGTTCTCTTTGTTTTAGAATAATAATCTCAGTAAACATAATTTGTTAACTGGTGGAAGCAATATAAATACTGGATTATTTGTTTTAATTTTGGATACCACTTACCTTTCATAATAAAGGAAAATAATTTGTAGTTTACTTGACTAGCCAAGTGTTATGAATTGAAGTTAATTGGCATGTGCTTATAAACTGAAACATTTAATCCACAGCAATTAGTGTAAGTGCTTTCCCCCAGTAATAAACGCCCATCAGATATTAGCTGTTCTAATCTAAGTTTTTCATTATTAGACAATAAATGCTTGGGCTGAAGCATTTTGGATGCTGCACCAAATCACAATGTTCTCATGCTGGCATTGAAGCATTATTAATTTGGAATTGCAGGGCAGAGGTGTCGGCATAAACATTCAGGGTGAGATATACCAACACATATTTCTCTACCACCACATGCTGCACACAGAGTTCCCATGCATTCATAATGATAACTGCTGCTGCTGCAAAGCTACTAATCATTGATTGAATGCCAGTTCAGTGAATTGTCCTGCCCTTCTCCCATATGCTTCAGATGTTGAAACTGCCTCATACCAAGCCAGACCATTAGTTCAGTACCATCTGCTCTGACTGGCAGCAGTTCCCCAGGGTTTCGCATGGGGCTCCTGCTCAGTCCTTGCTGGAGATGCCAGGCACTGAACCTGGGGCTATCTGCATGCAAAGCATCTGTTGTATCACTAAGCTATAGCCATTCCCTGACATTACAGAAACTAGTCAATTTGCAGAAATAGGCAAAAGGAGTGATTGGACAGCCCCTCAACAGCATCTGAGGGGCTGTACAATACTTAGGATTCCCAGATCCTAGTTCAAAGGGAGGAATCTGCCAGCTGTCCTCTCCTCCTCCTCACAGCTGGCTTACCTTCCAAGGCTGGAAACACAATCTTGGGGGAAATGGGGAGGAGCAGAGAATGTGATTTAGAAACAGACTGTGCATTTGAGCAAAATGCAGTGAGTGGGCTTTCATAGTATGCTCACAATTCAAATTGTATGTATCTAGATGCATCCTTGGGATTGGTACACCAATGATTACAGTTCCCAAAAATGCAAACTGAAGCATGTTTCCTTAGGAGAAAGTCCTACTGGAAGGATATGGAAACAAAGCCCTATGAGGAGAGATTGAAAGAACTGGGCATGTTTAGCCTTGAAAAGGAAGATTGAGGGAAGATGCGGTAGCATTCTTAAGTACTTGAAAGACTGCCATGCAGAGGAAGGCCAGGATCTCTTCTCAGTCATCCAAGAGTGCATGAGAAACAGGCTCAAGTTGCAGGAAGCCAGGTTCTGGCAAGACTTCAGGGAAAAATTACTATTGGAGCAGTGTGGCAATGGGAACCATGGGCTCTCTCATACTAGAGGCATTCAAGAGGATGTTGGAAAGCCATTGGTCAGGGATGCTTTAACTTGGAGCCCTTCACTGAGCAGGGGGTTGGACTTGATGGCTTTCAGGCTCCTTCCAACTCTACTGTTATATGTTTCTGTAAAATCCTAATAAAATGTGCTTCAATTGGAACTCAAATCTTGTTCAAAGGCCAGATCCAGACATAAAACAAGCTCCCTGCAAACTAGCTCCCTGAGGATCCAACCTCAGGAATACATGCAATCTTCCTTTCCTGAGTACACATTGTTAATCGTAACTGTGATTCAGCATTATGTCTGGACCATTGCTAACAAAGATCAGTACTAATCTGGCTTCCCATGAGGATCTGAATGGGCTTGCAACCTGGTTAAACTGTAAATTGGATAGCATCAGTGCACGAGACAATGTTAAATCCTCTTTAAGACTGACAAGGAAAGTGCGGTGAGAGACATAATTTGTATTAAAGAAAACCAGAAGGGAGAAAGAGCAAAGATAGTCCTGTATATTTTAGCCATAGTTTGTATTTAAAATTGTATCTACTAAAATCTAAAAAATCATTCTGTTTCTAATTCTCTAAAGATTCTACACTGTTTATATACTTTTGAAACTTAATATTTCCTATAATTATGGGATACCATTTAAAATTTAAATAATCAAAACAGCAGTACCAAATACAGTTACTTGCTGAGTGATATTCTCAGTTACAGAAGGCAAGAATTGCTCCTGCTGTTTCACCCGTTCACGATGAACTTGAGGATATTCTGCTGCTTTAATCTCTTTTATAGGCTTATAGTCTGTTAAAACCACATAGCACACACTACAGATTGCTGATTTCAAAAGGATTCTGAGGTCAGAGTCTCAGAAAGGCACCTTCCTTTTTTCGCCATACCATTCATTCTTCCCAAAGGGAAACTGGAGGTGTGAGTTTTGCTTGCTTGTTTTTCACCTGTTTGAAGATGTAATTTTGTCCCAGTCTCCCTTTTAAAGATTGAGCCTACATAGAGAAATCCTACCATTAGCCCAGTTTCTATCACACATGGATGATGCTGGGAGTGGGGGAAACACCCAAACAAACCTCCCCCCCGAAAAAAAAATCTCTGCATTTGGGCTTTGCACTGTTCAGGGTATAAAGGCTAATTTGAAGGCAACTTCCCAAGCATGGTGTCTTCCACTTTGTAAATGCCTTAGAAAAAGAACAGGGAATTCTGCCTGCAGTTTACCTATTCACTTTTTCACTGCATATGTTTGCATACTGACTTCTGTACCAAAGGGCTATTAAGACAATAAAAATCATTAAAACAAAGTATAAGCCTTCAAGATTTAACACCAATTAACTAAGCAGCAGAGGAGCAATAAAACAAGTAGAAGGTAAAACCTTGTACAGAAATTGGACTTCTAAGTGCCTACTGAAACAGCAGGCCTTGGGGAATCAACATCAAGGGCTTGTTTGTTTGAGATCTGAAATTAACTTCCCCAAAGAAGAAGTTCTGAAGGTTAGCTGAAAGGCTCAGAGCTAAGCTTGGTGACTCTGTGTTCAGAACCACCAATCTTAAGCAAAATAAAACATTAAGTTACTTCTTTCCCTCCCCACTCCACCAAAGTTCTACAGGTTGTTTGAATTCTAATGATCAAAAGGTACTTCCATCAATTAATTTTCAAGTACATTCAACTTTCAGCTTAATGTCATTTATTCTACATTAAAAGGAACAACAAAATGCAGCTTTATCTTGAGACAACATAACTGGGCATTGGGAAACTACAAAAACTGCAATAACGGGAGAAACTGTTAAATGACTGGGATGGGATGCTGAAGCAAGGTTTTGAAAGATCTTGAAAGACAGGATGATGGGTGAAGGCAATTCTCCAGATCACCTTCCTTCAACAAATGTCCCCCATATATTAGCGACTACAACTCCCAGCATCCTACAGTCAGCCCCACATATATGGAAGATACCAGGTTTGGGAAATATGAGCTAGACACTAAACTGGGACTCCAGACATCTAGTCCCCACTCAGCCATAAAATGTGCTAGGTAACTTTGGGCAAGTCATTGCCTTTCAGCTTAACCTAACTCACAGGGTTCTTGTTGTGAGCCACCTTGTGTTCTTTGCAAGAGGAAGAAAGAATACTAAAGGGAAGGAGGAGGAGGAAATGTGGGTTTTAAACTTTGCAATGGTACCTTGTATTTTATCTACATTATCTGTTGTGGAATACACTAATGTGCTTGTTCTTGAAAGTGAGCATGAAAAGGAGACTATGAGCTGGATAGCTCTCAATCGTTAAAGCTGCCATCCTATATAACAAGGGTGGGGAACATCTTTCAGCTCATGATCCAAAGCTGGAGTGGGGTATGTTCTACTGGCAGGTGGGGCAAGCACAAAAGAGGTGAGATCAACAGTATAGCAAAATACCAGCATATTGCAGTTTAAGGTTCCTTCTGCCAGTAACTAAGCCTTAAGGCTTACCATTTTTTTTAAACTGATAAGCTACACCAAAGCTACATGGAAGCCAGAAAACCATCAAAAGATTGCAGGCAAGGGAAAGAGGTATGGTCAAATAGAGAAAGCAGAATTGAGTCCCCAGGAGAGCTAGACGTGGTCTTTAGGCCTGAAGAACCCCACCCCTACCATACAAACTTACCTGAATTCAGTAGAACTTATGACTACACAGGATTGCTACTCAGCAGTTCTTACATACTGTACATACCTGTCCACTCCTGCCTTCAGGTTTGCAGTCTAAAGATAAATATACCACAGGAAGCAACACCCAGCCCTGTGAATCTGTTGCAGCTAACAAACCTATTAAGGCATCCCAGGAAGGAAAAGCACCATCCCTCCTGGTACAGGGATAGCAGACTGGCTCTAGGCTGCTACCTGACAAAACAGGTAGCAGCTTTCTTAGCAGTACAGGTAGTAGCTGCATACCACCAGGATGTGTAGGGAGAAAAGAGTGGGAGAGAAAAGCAATAGCTATGTTTCCCATGGGCGATTGGGCCTTCATAGAAAAAGGGTTCTCTATCCCTGGCATAAAGTTACATCTGACATCAACCACCAGCCCAAGAACATTTATGCCATAAACAATGTGTTTGTCTTTTAGATACTGCAGGACTCTTGTACAAGGTAGTCATTATGAGCCAGTTTCATTATGAGTCAAGTACAAGCAATCAACTACCAGGAGCTAAATTATCGAACTAAATGTCCTAACAAACAAGTTTATTCAGTTGATTTTTTACTCAGT